TCCCTGACTACATACGTAATTGCTTGAATTTGGGACAGAGAAAAAGAGAAATAAAATGATACTGTAAAACAAATTTTTCAATTAAAAAATACTTTATATTAAGTAAAATCAATTTTATTTCTCCTTTTCGCTTTGAAAGGTATTACAAACTTTAAGAAGTGATATTCCTTTATTTGATTGTTTTGGTTAAAATATATTCTAAAAATTTAGATATGAATTATAAAAAAATATATTAATAATACTTGAATATTGGGGCTTATTTAAGATATTCCTTTATTTGATTGTTTTGGTAAAATATGTTGTAAAAATTTAGATATGAATTATAAAAAAATATATTAATACTTTTAATAAATTTGCAGGAAATTAATAATTAGATCGATCTGTGGGTTGTTAGGTAGTGTTAACCATCACCCAATATTATATTAATCATAACTATAATATAATATAATCTTATAACTATTAACTCATAATGTAAAAATTTTTATAAAAAATATTAAGGCAGGGCCCGGATATATTTGAAAAAAAAATTTTTAGGCCCGGCCCAGCCCGGATATGTTTAAAAAAATATTTTTCAGGCCCGGCCCGGGTATATTTAAAAATTTTAAAATACGGCCCGGCCATGCCCAGGCCGGGTTTAGGGCCGGGCCTGCGGGTCTCTGATATTAATTATGAAATGAAAAATGGATTTCTTTTATTTGATATTTTTTTAATAAAAAAAATGATATGCTTGCTAGTTTGCTACTATTGTAATATTATTTTTGTTACTATTTATTAGTGATTTTCACACGCCAAAAATTTTAAGCAAAAAATATTTTTTGAAGTTCAAAAAGATTTTTAAATATATTTTGATAAAAATTTTAATATTTTTTGAGGAATTCTTTTGTGAATTTTATAATAAATAAACAATCTTTTAGGTGAAATCCTTTATAGTTTTTTTTATCATTTTTGTAAAATTATCTATTTTTTAAGTATATTAAAAGAGGTGGGTTTTCTAAATAATATTTTTTAAAAATATTTTTATTTAACTTATTTATGTATATGATCTATTTTAATCTGACAATTTTTATATTCGTTATTGAAGATGTTCCTTGGAAAAATGACAATTATCATAATCGGTATTTTTAAACATATTAGATTTTTTTTACGGTAAAATATGTATTTTTAACATGTTAAATTAAAATTTTAATTAAGATGCACAATATAAAAGTGACAATTATTATAATCGTTATTTTTAAAGTTTTTTAAATTTTTTTGACGTAAATCGGTTAAAATAAGTATTGTTAACATGTATTAATAAAACTTCAGTGAAGATGTACCCTAGATAAGTGACAATTTATTTTGAATTTTTTTGATGCAAATGGGTAATAGATTGTAAACTTGTTAAATTAAAATTTCATAAAGATGTACCACAGAAAAGTGACAATTGTAATAATCGTTATTTTTAAACTTTTTTGACGTATATGGGCCAAAATAAGTATTGATAACATGTTTAAATAAAACTTCAGTGAAGATGTACCCAAGATAAGTGACAATTGTCATAATCATTTTTAAAGTTATTCGAATTTTTTTGACGCAAATGGGCAAAGAAAAAATTGCTAACATGTTTAAATAAAACTTCAGTGAAGATGTAGTGACAATTGTCATAGTCGTTATTTTTAAAGTTTTTTAAATTTTTTTGAAGCAAATGGGCAAAAATTGAAAATGGTAACATGTTAAAATAAAATATCAATGAAGATGTACCATAGATAAGTGACAATTGTCATAATCGTTGTTTTTGAAGTTTTTTGAAATTTTTTGATACAAAAGGGTAAAAATATAGATTGTAAAAATATCAAATTAAAATTTCATGAAGATGTATCATATAAAAGTGACAATTGTCATAATCGTTATTTTTAAAAGTTTTTAAATTTTTTTGAAGCAAATAAGCTAAAATATAAATTGCTAACATGTTAAAATAATATTTCAGCGAAGATGTACCCTAGATAAGTGACAATAGTCATAATCGTTATTTTTAAAGTTTTTGAATTTTTTGACTTATTGGACAAAAATATAAATTGTTAACATGTTAAAATAAAATTTCAGTCCAAACAATATAACAAATCGATATTTTCATTCTCATAATCGTTGTTCCTTTTATCCTGCTTAAAATTTGATAAAAATATGCAAAGTGATTATTAAAGATAGCTGTAACCTATGTTAAATTCTAAACTTTTAAGATATGGATTCACAATCTTATTCCTTTAATTAATAAATTTTAATGCTACATTATAAAAATGTATAGCCTTGCATTCACAGTAAACAAATATTTTTGTATACTCGTGGCAAAATAGTGCTGAGTCTGAATTCAGGGTAACCCATTTACATCAAAGAACTTTAAAATTAACGATTATAAAATTGTCACTTTTCAATGGTATATATTCATGAAATTTTAATTTAGCATGTTTACAATCTATATTTTAATCCATTTGCAACAAAAATATTCAAAAAAACCTTATTAACAACGATTATGACAATTGATACTTATCTATGGTACATCTTCACTGAAATTTTATTTTAACATGTAAGTAATTTATATTTTTGCCCATTTGCGTCTAATAATTTTAAAAATAACGATTATGACAATTATCACCTATCTATGGTGCATCCTCATGAAGTTTTAATTTAACATGTTTACAATCTATATTTTAACCCATTTGCGTCAAAAAAATTCAAAAAGGTTTAAAAATAACGATTAAGACAATTGTCACTTATCTAGGGTACATCTTCACTGAAATTTTATTTAAACATGTTTGCAATACTTATTTTACCCCATTTACGTCAAAAAAATTCAAAAAGTTATAAAATAACAATTATGACAATTGTCACTTTTCTATGGTACATCTTCATGAAATTTTAATTTAACATGTTTACAATCTATATTTTTACCCATTTGCGTCAAAAAAATTCAAAAAACTTTATTGTCACTTATCTAATATACATTTTCACTGAAATTTTATTTTAACATGTTTTCAATACTTATTTTAGCCCATTTACGTCAAAAAAAATTAAAAAAGTTATAAAATAACGATTATGACAATTGTCACTTTTTTATGGTACATCTTCATGAAATTCTAATTTAACATGTTTACAATCTATATTTTTACCCATTTGCGTTAAAAAAATACAAAAAACTTAAAAAATAACGATTTTGACAATTGTCACTTATCTAAGGTACATTTTCACTGAAATTTTATTTTAACATGTTAGCAATACTTATTTTAGCCCATTTACGTCAAAAAAATTTTAAAAAATTATAAATTAACGATTATGACAATTGTCACTTTTTTATGGTACATCTTTAGGAAATTCTAATTTAACATGTTTACAATCTATATTTTTACCTATTTGCGTTAAAAAAATACAAAAAACTTTAAAAATAACAATTTTGGCAATTGTCACTTATCTAGGGTACATCTTCACTGAAGTTTTATTTTAACATGTTAGCAATACTTATTTTAGCCCATTTACGTCAAAAGAATATAAAAAAGTTATAAGATAACGATTATGACAATTGTCACTTTTTTATGGTACATCTTCATGAAATTCTAATTTAACATGTTTACAATCTATATTTTTACCCATTTGCAACAAAAAAATTCAAAAAACTTTATAAACAACGATTATGACAATTGTAACTTATATCTATGACATCTTCAGTGGAATTTTATTTTAACATGTAACAACTTATATTTTTGCCCATTTATGTCAAAAAATTGTAAAAAAACTTTAAAAATAATGATTATGACAATTGTCGCTTTTATATGGTACATCCTAATTGAAATTATAATTTAACATCTTTACAATATAAATGATATTTTTACCCTTTTGAGTCATAAATTTCAAAAATCTTAAGACGAATATGACAATTGTCACATTAAATTATTTTCTTAAAAAGATCATATAAAATAACATAAATAAGTTGAATATAAATATTTAAAAAAAAATTATTTAGAAAACCCACCTCTTTTAATATATTTAAGAAATAGATAATTTTACAAAAATGATAAAAGAAACTATAAAAGATTTCACTTAAAAATTGTATATAATAAATTTCACAAAAGAATTCGTCAAAAAAAATATATTTACAAAGAAGATTTAAAATTTTTATCAAAATATGTTCAAAAATTTTTTTAAACTTCAAGAAATTTTTTTTACTTAAAATCTTGGGCGTGAAAATCACTAATAAATTGTAACAAAAATAATATTACAATAGTAGCATATCATTTTTTATTAAAAAACATCAAAAATAAATAATATGTTGTTTTCCTTTAAATAAATGCATTCGCAATATATTTATTGTTTTGCGGTAATGCGCTCGCGATAATGACTTCGCGCAAATATATTTGCGATAAAAAATTTGCTGTAAAGTGTTCGCATAAAATGTTTCGCTAAAATGTATTCGCTCTAATAAATTCGCGGTTAAGGTTTCGCGGAAATAAATTCGCAGAATTGGTTTCGCGATTTTACCTTCGCTATAAAAACTTTTCGCGATAAAAGTTTCGCAAAAAAGTGTTTCGCGAAAAAGTGTTTCACGATAAAAGTTTTGCGAAAAAGTGTTTCGCGATAAAAGTTTCGCTGAATTGACCTGATACAGCGTAGGGGCACGTATTTTATTGATGTAAAAAAAAAAATTTTTTTTAATTTTACTACCATTTTTTAATTAAAATCAAAAATAACATTTTCTGATTAATCTTTTGAAGTTTATTATGATTCTATATTAATATAATTTAATTTAAGCTTCTTTCATAGGGGGTGCGTAGGGACGCTTAGTTTTCAGGGGCGCGTATTTTAGTCATGCCTCAAAATTTGACATTATCCACTAAAAAATCATGATCCTTTTTTGAAAATTATTATCTTTATTTTTTTATATTTTTTGAAAAGAATCTGATCTTGACTCAATCCTTAAAAGGATAAATTAACAAACTTGATTATTTGTCATTATTATATAATTTTATTTTTACTTGAAATTAAGACTCTTCTGTATCAAATCTATATATTTATAAGCTCCTCCACCAGTAGCTTTTAAAACTTTACAAGATTGAAATTCAGGTAAGGTTGCTATATGTTTCTGTATGAAATCTAAACATGCTTCTATGCATTTTGTCTCAAATTTTATGAAATGTAATTGTGCACCCATTTCTTCTGTTTCACAGATCTTTGTAAAATATAAATAATCTAAAGAATATATAAGCTTATACATCTTCCTTGCCATCAATGTTGTAAATAGTTTTTTTCCTAGGTACATTGACTAGGTATGCTAATTTTGCCAAGGAGCCTCCTTAAAATAATGTGCATATAAAAAAGAAAACAAGAAAATATACCTATATCAATAGATACTCTTTGAGCATTTTGCAATGTTTGTAAAAAATTATCATGTAATTTAATATCAATATTATGTTGCATTTTAATCAAGCATTTGTTAGTTATAGCAAAGCAGTAGTTAATATAAATCTTTAGGCAGTATAGCATATAAATTTAATGTTTAAATACCTATATCAATAGAAAACCAATCTATATTTCCTTTTAAATTACTATTTTTATCCATTTTATTGCAATACCTTTCTAGGTAGGTTAAAGATAGCATATGAAATTTGGTTCCACCTCTAAATAGCAAAGCAAGGAATTAAATGAATGAAAATCTTAAAAAGCCTAATAATATATAAATAATTTTATAAATTACTAAAATATAAATCATTTTATAAATTATAAATATACAAATCATTTTATTATATTATTTTTTATTATATAATTATAATATAACATATATAAGTTTTATTTATTAATAGTGTTGTATAAATTATTATATATATATAAATCATTTTAATATTATAAAACTACCCGTCAAAAATGACGGGGAATATCGAATCAAAAGATCGACGATCCTAGATTCGATCGCAAATTTGTCAATTTTACGAGATTTATGATTCTGACTTAAATTGAGGATCGCGATCGAGATCATTTTGTTTAAAATTCGATCCCGATCTTTTTAAAAATTAATTTTTTACTTAAAAAGAAATAAATAAAACAAAAATTTTGAAAATTAAATTAAAATATTATTTTTAAAAAAAATATCTACCTTCATATTTTATCAACTTCCATTCCACCATTTATTTTATAGATATATTTATTCATTTCCTAAATTTTACGAGATTTAGAGATCTTACAAGTTATTTAATATAAATTTATAATAATATATTAATATTTATTTTAATAGGTAAATGTAAATGTCCATTATAGATTTAGAAGATTCTATTGCATCTACTATTGATGTAACAGCAGATATAAGTGAGAATGAGAATCTTTTACCATTTTTGAAATTGCGTAAGTATTTTACTTTATGAGAAATAGATGAAAGCAACTCTTATAATATGATCAGCACCAAATGCCGTCTCTGTAAGAAGATAATATCATCTTCCAAAATATCATCCTCGAACTTAAAGCTACATTTACAAGTAATTCTTTTAAATTTTTTTTATTTACTAATCTTAATGTCAACATGTTTAAATTTAATTTATTACATTCCTGAGTTGAACAGGTACTACAGAAATAGAATCTAGATACAGATTCTTTATAAAAAAAATGAATTATTAGATACAGTATAATTAATAAAATATTTAGAGTTAATCTTGGTATATTTGACTTTCTCTAATATAATTAAAACATCCAGTTCAATGTTATTTGTATTGAACTTAGCAATGTTTTACCAAAAAAATAAATATCTATTCTATTATATCTTTATTATAATATGTTAAATCTAATCAATTAGTATTATAGTTTCAGTTTGAGCTTGATTATATAATCCTCTTGACAACATTTTTAGGGCTTTTTTTAATAATATATTTTGAATTGTATTTTTTGTATCATTTGACCCAATCCATAAGTTCTTAAATGCCAAAAAGCCTCATTATATTAATAGGAAAATACTTTATCAAAATCTTTAGACCATATCATCTTGGGAAACTTTTAATTATGATAGACAATATTGTAAACTTAAATTTTTAAGATAACCTACCCCCTTTTAACCACTAATAAAACATACTTTAATATGTTTAACAAAATTTGTTGATCCCTTAATCCATAGTTCTTAAATGCCAAAAAGGCTAATTATATTCATATATAGGAAAATAATTTATCAAAATCTATAGCCCATATCATCTTGGGCAACTTTTAATAATGATAGACAAAGACAATATTGTAAACTTAAAATTTAAAATAACCTATATGAACCTTTTTTAACCATATATAAATTAAATAATATATTTTAATATGTTTAACAAAATTTGTGTTGAACCCTTTATTGTTTTTTTATTTATATAGGTTTTACATTCAGCCTGTACATTGTTTTTTTTAACTTTAAATTTCCATATAAAATTTTAAAAATGAAATTTGATTCAGGATAAGTTATTTTCATCCAACTTTGATACATACTTTTTTTTTCTTTTATAAAGAAAAAGCAGTGAATTTAAAAATGAGATTACCAAACACCTCAACGAATTCTCTACATAAAAAAATATATCACTGCAAAACCAAAGTGGCTCTGGTTGCAAATCCAGACAATCTAAATTAAATTTTAACAATCTAAACATTCCAGCTGTATCGCAAAAAACGGCAGACAAGGTTATCATGGATTTTATTATTGACACCTTTCAACCACTGTCTCTGGTTGATGATCCTTCATTTGAAAAAATTATTAAAACTTTTTCTCCTGCGACAAAAATTATTTGTCGCCAAACACTGGGCAACAGGATATCTACTTCCTTCTCTTATATAACGACAAATCTTATAAGAGATTTGTCTGAAGTTTCTTATGTATGCACCACTGCTGATTGTTGGAGTCGTCATCGAAGGTATATCTCACGTTCTATAAAATTCATAATAAGGTGGTGAAGATGGTGACTGACAATGGAACCAATTTTGTCAAGGCATTATGTTAAAATGGTTCCACAGAGAAATTATTGTATTATAGCTGTAGTAGTGATATGTTTATGGATAATTGGTATTGTGTTACATCGGAAAAAAATGAAGTTATAGAAAGAGATAGAATAAAAATCACGGAAGAAATTGAAATCAAAAGTAATGAAAAGGAAAAAGGAAAAAATGAAAGGGAATTAAAAAACTTTAATGAAAATGAAAGAATGACTTAAGAGATGTTAAATTTAAAAGATGAAATATTTAAAATGTTAAATAAAAATATGATAGAAATAATGAGGAAAAGTATCAATATTATTAGGTCGGAAAATGAACGAAAAGGTATTGATAATAAAAGAGAAATAGAGATTAAAGATGAACATGGAATGAGAGATGATAAACCAAATAATTATAGTCATAGAGAAAATTGTGAGAGAAGGTATGAAAAGGATTTCAAAAAAGAGGATCGAATGAATGATAAGGAATACGATAATTTAAAAGAGTATAATACGTCAATGAACTTGCTGAGAAATGAAAAGGAAAGTTGGGAAAAGTAAAATTTTTTCCGAAATAGATTTAATCGTCCAAAGATTAATATGCAAAATGTAAGATGTTATTCATGTGGGGAATTGGGGCATATAAGTAGAAATTGTGTGCAGAACGGTGCTATGTTTAATAAGCAACCGATTAAATGTAATAGATGTGGAGGAGTTGAACGTAGTAGTGAAAAATGTTATGTCCCGACGTATCGTATTATTGGAAATAATCAAAGAACATTTTAATGTGAAAGAAAAGAGAATTGTTATGTAAGAGAACCGATAAATGGGGAAGCATTTCCGGCAGTGAAATACTTAGCACCGGCATCTAATGTAAGAATGATACAAAATAATGATATTTTGAAAGAAGATAAAGATGAAAGTATATATTTTAAGAGCAGGAAGGAAGGACATCGGGCTATAGAATGTCGGGAGAGGTGACTAAATGATAGCGAAAATAGTAAAATGGAAGTTATTGCATTAGAGAATGAAGTGAAATTTTGGGTCGGTGGAGATGTAGAAGTTAAAAGAAATTTAGTAGATAAAAGAAATATAAATTTGTTAAATGGTGAAAATATGAAAAATTATAGAATTCCTATTTTAAAATTAGAGGGCAAAAGTGAGAAGGATAAATGTCCTCATGTAGAAGTAGTTGTAGAAAGTAGAGAAATATCTAGGCTATTGGATACAGGTGCGGCGATATCGATTGCAAGTTATGAAAATTATTGTGAATATTGGCCAGAAGAGAATATAATTGAAGAGGAGATGATAGTTAAACAGTTTGATGGATTGGAAATAAAGGTTTAAGGAAAAATTGAAATACCGTTTGTAATAAATGGTATAGTTGATTATTTAAATTTGTGGATTGTTGATAAAAAGGTGGAGACGATTATGGGGTGGGAATGGATTGTTAAGATTGGTCCATTAAATAATTTTTGGTAATTTTTCAAATGAAATTAAACGAGATGAAATGGTTGAAGTTCAGAACGTTAAAATAGAAAATCAAGAATAGTGTCATATAAAAGATGAAATCATTGGAAAAGGTATGATGGGTAATCGGGAAAGTGAGTTTGTAAAAAAAAATATGTCTCAAACGCGGATAGTTCCAGTTAAAAAAAAGAAAGGTTAGATATACTGAGTTGTCGCAAAGTGTTAATATTATGGAAAATGACAAGCCTAGAGAGGTAAATACCTCGTAGAAAATGTATTAATGAGAGAAATAATGATGAAATAAAAATAGACACGAAAACAGAAGAAATAGAGGAGAAAATTATGAGTCAAGAAATGTGTAAGGAACTGGATAATGAAAAGAAAGATATACCAGTGTTACAGAATTTCCCGGCGAAATTTGTAAGAAAAAAAGAGGAAAAAGAATTAATGGAGGGGAAGGAAAGGAACAATTTTCGAGTTTGGAAAATTGGAGGCTTGTTAATGAATAGTTATAGTGAAATTTTTGAGGAGAAATTAGGGTGTTTAGTGGATTATGAAGTTAATATCCGTTTAAAGGAAGGTTGTGTACCGCAGTATTGTCCGGTGCGAAGAGTTCCATTTGAATGGAGGGCGGAAATGGAAAAAAAGTTGGATAACTGGGGGAAAGATGGAATTATTTGTCTTATTGGGTACAGTGAATGGGCAACTCCGTTGGTACCTGTGAGAAAGGCTAATAGAAAATTGAGGTTATGTGCCGATTTTAGGGTGACATTGAATTCTTGGGTTGTAGAGGTGAAATATCCGTTACCGCGAATAGAAGAAATTTTGGCCAGTTTGAAAGGGGGAAAATATTTTTCAAAGATTGATTTTTCGTGTGCATTTTTGCAATTACCGATGTCAAAACTAGGAAGTTGTTAACGATTACGGCATTCAAGGGATTGTTTACGTTTTGTCGATTACCATTTGGGTTAAGTGTATCAGCCCCTATGTTTCAGCGGACAATGGCTGCTGTTTTCCAAGGTTTAGAGGGTGTTTTTTATTATATGGATGATGTTTTGGTTGTAGGAATAACAATGAAACAACATAATATCAGGCTAGAAGAAGTATTTATTAGAATTCGACTTAAAGGATTAAAGGCGAGTCGTGAAAAAAGTGTGTTGGGAGTAACTGAAGTGACATATTTGGGTCATAGAATTAATAGAATGGAGGTTAAATCGTTAGATAAGAATTTTTTGAGTATTGCGAATTCGAATAGGCCGACCAGTAAAGTAGAGGCCCAGTCGTTTATGGGAATGGTAAATTATTACCATCGGTTTATATCGAGATTTGCGGAAGTAGCTGCTCCTTTATATGAATTATTAAGGAAAGGGGTACATTTTGAATGGAAGGAGGAACAAGAGATTGCGTTCAGAACGTTAAAAGAGAGAATGAATTGGAAGGAGCCCATTCTGGTGTGTTTTAATAGTGATCTGGAAGTAGTTTTAGCTGTAGATGCTTGTAATAGAGGAGTAGGTGGGGCGATGTTGCATTTGATAGATGGAATAGAAAGACCTGTTTTATTTTTCTCGAGAGTGTTTCGAGAGGTAGAAAAGTGGTATTCAGTGATAGAACAGTAGGCTTTATCTGTGATTTTTGGATAAACGAAATGTCGCGAATACCTTATAGGTAGGAAGTTTGTTGATTTACAGATCATAAGCCCTTGATACATTTATTTAAAAAGATAACAAAGAGTTGATGTTATCACCTCGACTTCAGCGATGGTTATTGTTAGTAGGAAGTTTTGATTTGGATTTAAAATATCGAAGGGGAAAAGAAAACCAGTTACCTGTTGTCGAGGTTAGGTGCTGGCGAAAGTTTGGATGAATCGGTGGTTTTTAAAATTGATAATCGGGAAGAATGTCTTGTACGTACGGTAATGCGAAGTATAAAAGGTAGCCCAACGACATGGGAAGATATACAAAGGTTTACAAGGAAAGATAGAGAATTAGCGGTAGTTAAATTATGTCTAATGGGAAAAAGACCATGGAAAAATAATGATAAAGTTTTCAAAAATATTGAAACAGAATTAACTATAGTGGACGATTGTATTATGAGGGGACCCCGAGCTGTTATATCCCGAAAATTGTGGGAGAAAATTTTGAATGTCATACATGTAGGTCATCAAGGAGTTACTCTTATGAAACAATGGGGAAGAGAATACGTATGGTGGCTGAAAAAGAACGAGGATATTGATAAATTGGGAAAAGAATGTGAGATTTGCAATGCATGGTCTGACAAGCCCCGTAAGGATAAAAATAGTACATGGCCAAAAGTTGTAGAACCAGGAGAGAGGGTTCATGTTGATTTTTCGAATATGAAGGAAAGAAGTATATATTAAGTGGTAGATGCGCTCTCCAAATGGATAGAATTTGAAGAAATTCATGGGTTAACGGCGAATATTGTGATTAAACATTTTAAAAAAGTATGGTCGAAGTTTAGTATTCCGAAAACTGTGGTATCGGATGGTGGACCAGCTTTTATCGGTGAAGAATTCAAGAGATTCTGTGAAACGGGTGTATATCATGTGTTAGCGCTACCGTATCATCCCAGTTCCAATGGACAGGTGGAACGGATGCTAGCGACGGTTAAAAGATGGTAGAAGAAAACAAAAAGTGGAAAAGGAGAAATGTGGGAGAAGCATTTGTATTATAATAATGCGATGGGTAATGATGGTTTGTCTCCGGCCGAAGAAATGATAGGTCGGAAAGTAAGGATGTTTTTAGATATGTTAATACCCAGGAAAACGGCGGTAATTGTAGAGGATATTGATAGATGGAAATTGGAATATACTGTGGGACAATTAGTATGGATTAGATTATATGGAAGTTCAAGAAAATGGGAGAAAGGTGTAGTAATAGAAAATTTGGGAAACAAATTAAATAGGGTAAAATTTAATGATAATAGTGAAGGTGTCAGGCACAGGGATCAATTACGGAAGAGAGTGCATAGAAATGGTTGAAAAAGAAAATTGTAAAAAAGGAAAATATTTAAGGAAAGTTCCCGGTTAATAAATAACGTAGACTTCAATGGTGTAAATAATCGTGTAATCAAGAAGCAACCACTGCCCACGAACACCGTCCAACGTAAAAGAGGAACGACATAATGTTAGGATGACAACAAATTTATGACGGCTACTATGAAAATCGCCTAAAAGAGAGGAGGATGGCAACGTTAGAATCGACCCTCTAAAAAAATACTGAGATGATTACCAAGATCTGATTGAGTGTGTGAAGTGATAAAGAAAAAATACAGACATAAAAATAATGTTTAAAGAAAAAAATATGTTAATCATTTATTGAATGTTTATACGCTGATTAATTTTTTTTGCAATAGTGATATAAAAAATATATATAATTTTGCCCAGGATTTTTGTTAAGGGGGCGTGTTGTAGTATTATGTTTATTATTATATTAGTAGGTTATTATTACAGTAATGTCAAGGATATATTGTATTTTTATATGAAAAAGAGATAATGTCAAGGATGTAATTTATTTTTATATGAAAAAGAGGAAAACTAGATTATTTTTGAATATATTGATTTTTAGTTAATTTTTTTCGCGTAATAAAATTGATTTTGTTTCATTGCGTATTTTTAATAATTTTTTTTATAAAATAATTTTTTTTTTATCTTTTCGAAAATTGTATTTTTTTTTAAAAAGGAATGTCTACTAGAAATAAAAATAAAAGAGTCTACTAGAAATAAAAGTTAAGGAATCTAAAAAACTAATTAAACTACAATTTTTTCCTATAAAAAATTATAATTAAATATTAAAAATAAATTAATATCATAAGTTACGTATTAAATATTTTCAGAGATTGCTCTACAACTATCAATCTTCCCCTCTTTTTTAGCTATGGCTACTCTAAATAAATGGCGGCGCTATTAATTAGATACTATTTTTATAAAAATAAAGTAACTAACTTATCGCTATTTAAAAAATGTAGCGCGCTACTTTTAACATAACTTATGGTGAATACCTATAACAGTGACGAAACTAGGGAAACAATGAAAAACATTTATCTCTCACTTGATTTATTAAAATGATAAAGCAGAATAATGATATTCGGTAGACAGAGCATGGCATGATGATAGTACTTCAGGAACATGTTCTTCCTTGCAAAATGGCAAAGTTATCAAATATACGTTAACTAAACCCAATAACGATTATCAAAATAGCGAGATATTAAATGATATGATGAAAATGTAAAAAGTCTAAATTATTAATATATAAATAATTTTAAAAATTATTAATATGTAATTATAAATTATTAATATAGTAACGTTAGAAACAATAACAATATTAATAATAACAACAATAGTAATAATCAGTATTATGATAGTAACTATCAAAATTACAATTATCGGTATAACAATAGCAACAGAAACTTTCATAATAATAATCATCAATCTTATAACAACAACTATGGTAGGAACAACGCCTGGTTTAATTATAATCATAGGAGGCAGATTCAATCTGACTATCAAGATCATAATAATTACTTATCTTTTAACAACAATTCAAATAATAATGAAGGAAACAACAGGTAGCATAATAAGGATAACCAAAGAAAACAAATCGAATATGACGATCGTAATCGGAGGATTTTAATCAAAGAAAACAAATCCAGTATGATAATCAAAACTTCTACGATAGCAATAATTGTAATATGAACATTGAAGAAGTTGGGGAAAATAAAGTTGGCACTGCCAAAGACAATAATGAGAATGATTTCAATGTCAACAACCTGGCTGAAAATAGAGACAAAGGTGATGACAGTGCTTTTATGACTACTTTGAAATTAAATAATGTTACTACTACTATGCAGGTTGACACTGGATCAAAGTATACCTAATACCTCATGATATGGCTAAAAAAATTGGTATAAGAGAAATGAATAAATTCAGTTTGCGGCTTACAGCCTACGACGGAAACTTGATTAAAATCATCGGGACAACTCAAGTTAAAGTAAGTTATGAAGGAATCACTAAATATTTACTAGCAGTAGTTGTAGAGGCGAGAAAGAATGCGATATTAGGAACAATCTGGATCAATGCCTTTAAAAATATTTTAAATAAATTCATAGGAAATGTTGACACCAATTATGAAGACGAAATCAATAAACTTATTAAACGGGCCGGGCCGGGTTTAGGGCCGGCAAATACAAAGTAAATGTTAAATTACATTTAAGATGTGACGCCCAACCTAAAATAATACCACCAAGACGTATACCGTATTCAAAGATTGATCTTGTGGGCGAAGAACTGAATAGATGGATACACGAAAAAATTATGAGCCTGTAAGTGATGTGCGATGGGCGAGTCCTATAACCGCCGTATACAAAGATAATGGGAGCATCAGGCTTTCAGATTTTAAAGACACTATAAATCCAGCTCTCGAAGACTTTAGATACCCACTTCCACGTATAAATGAACTTATAGCTAAACTTTCAGAAAGAAAAAAATTTACCAAAATCGATTTCAAAAATGCTTTTCTACAAGTTCCGATCGATAAAAATAGCAGAAAATTTTTGACTATGTCTACACATAAGGGATACTACCAATTTACCAGACTTCCTTTTGGGTTGAAAACTTCATCTGCTATATTCCAACAAATCATGGATCAGATTTTCGGTGATATGACAGACGTTATATTTTATGTTGTTAACTTATTAATAACTGGAAATAACGATGAAGCACATTTAAACAACATCAAAAAGGTCTTTGAGAGAATATTATAGTACGGGTTAGAAAAGTTTATTTTTCAAAAACAAAGTGAGGTTCCTGGGTCATGATATCGACGCCAAGGGGATTCATGCTAATCATGACAAATTTTTATTTAATTACAGAAATACGCGTAATGACATACAGGAGTTACACCATCTAAGAGAATGTTCAACCGTTATATTAGAGTTAAATGGGACTTATTGAGACCGTTGGAGGAGAAGGAGAATAAAATAAACGTTACTTTACCACGAAATAGAACCTTTAATATAGGAGATTTTGTTTGGTATAAAGTACAAGGGAATGACACGTGGGACAAAGGGACAATTAATTTGAAGGAAAGCGACACTATGTTTCAAGTCTATACAGAAAAAGGTATTACAAGGAAACACCTGGACCAATTAAGAAAGAGAGAATGCTATAACACATTTGCATATATTTTAACGCATTTTGATCAAAAAAATTCTAAAAACTATAAAAATAACGATTATGACAATTGTCACTTTTCAATGGTAAAATCTTCATGAAATTTTAATTTACCATGTTTACAATCTATATTTTTACCCATTTGCAACAAAAAAATTCAAAAAACTTTATAAACAACGATTATGACAATTGTAACTTATATCTATGACATCTTCAGTGGAATTTTATTTTAACATGTAACAACTTATATTTTTGCCCATTTATGTCAAAAAATTGTAAAAAAACTTTAAAAATAATGATTATGACAATTGTCGCTTTTATATGGTACATCCTAATTGAAATTATAATTTAACATCTTTACAATATAAATGATATTTTTACCCTTTTGAGTCATAAATTTCAAAAATCTTAAGACGAATATGACAATTGTCACATTAAATTATTTTCTTAAAAAGATCATATAAAATAACATAAATAAGTTGAATATAAATATTTAAAAAAAAATTATTTAGAAAACCCACCTCTTTTAATATATTTAAGAAATAGATAATTTTACAAAAATGATAAAAGAAACTATAAAAGATTTCACTTAAAAATTGTATATAATAAATTTCACAAAAGAATTCGTCAAAAAAAATATATTTACAAAGAAGATTTAAAATTTTTATCAAAATATGTTCAAAAATTTTTTTAAACTTCAAGAAATTTTTTTTACTTAAAATCTTGGGCGTGAAAATCACTAATAAATTGTAACAAAAATAATATTACAATAGTAGCATATCATTTTTTATTAAAAAACATCAAATAATAAATAATATGTTATTTTCTTTTAAATAAATGCGTTCGCAATATATATATTGTTTCGCGGTAATGCGCTCGCGATAATGACTTCGCGCAAACATATTCGTGATAAAAAATTCGCTGTAAAGTGTTCGCGTAAAATGTTTCGCTAAAATGTATTCGCTCTAATAAATTCGCGGTTAAGGTTTCGCGGAAATAAATTCGCGACAATGGCTTCGCGAAATTGTCTTCGCTATAGATGTTTCGCGGAGATAAATTCGCAGAATTGGTTTCACGATTTTACCTTCGCTATAAAAACTTTTCGCGATAAACGACATTCGCAATAAAAGTTTCGCGAAAAAGTGTTTCGCGATAAAAGTTTCGCTGAATTGACCTGATACGTAAATTTTTTCTGGCATAGTTAAATTAGATATTTATAAATTTAATAATAAAATTTATAATGTTAAAATAATTAAGAAAAAATTCTAATTAATTTTTTATAATTTTTAAATAAAAGAAAAATCATTTAATTTGGTAAATATAATGAGAAAGTAAAGGTGATCGCTAATATGTTTGGGATTAAAAATTTTAAAACTAGAGTAGCTTCTAGATAGTCCAATCGCTTAAATATTGATGCATCTACGATTGAGAATTTTTATAAAATAAATATTTTTACTCCCTTTATTGATACATTTTAATTTCAATTAAATGAAAGATTTATTATTCACAATTTTATTTTAAACAGCGTTCATTTTCTTTTTCCAGTTGAGTCTAAATACACTTGAAACGCGAGAGGATATTAAGAAAATCTCAGAGTTTTAATCTGATGAATTATCAGGATCGTATGATAAATTACTTTGTGATGTTGAATTTTGGTATAAAAATTTTGACAGAATAGAGTACTCTTTGAGACCAAAATATGCTTTGCAGGCCCTTTCTTATAATTGCACTTTAGATTCCCTGCCTAATATCAAAACATTGTTTTTATCTTAGCTACCTTACCGATTAGCACCTGCACTAATGAAAGGTCTTTTTCAACTTTGAAAAGGTTAAAAACCTATTTAAGAAATAGCACCGGTGAAAGCCGTTTAAATGGATTCGCAATATTAAATATTTATAAGGAGATTCTAGATGAATTAGTCAAATCTCAGAGAAAAGTAGACTTCTCTTTATAAATTCAAATTTTAAAATTGCTAAATTATTATATATGATCTTAGTCATAAAATTTTTATATTCAAAAAGTAATTATAATGAATTCTTAGTCATAATATTTATACTATTTTTAATAAAAATATTGCATTTGCACTAAGAATTAGTGATCTGCATCGGGTCTAATTTTTCAAGCCCGGCCCTGCCCGAAATTATTTTAAAAAAGTTTGCCGGCCCGAACCCGAAATTTTTTTCAAAAAGTTTTGTCGGCCTGGCCCAAATTTATTTATATATAGAAATTCATTTTTATAATTACTCAAAATAAAAGATATATGTTATATGGTGTCTAGTTTTTATAAATAAAAACAAATATTTTTAAATATTTAACATTATATTTAGATATATTTTAAAAAAAATTCAAAACCCGACCCAACACGGCCCGAATTTTTAAAAAAATATTAGGCCCGACCCAGCCCGATTTTTCTACTTTTGCGGATCTCTAATAAGAATTTGTTTTATTAATATACTCATTTTTGTATTAATTATATTATAATTGTGAAATTATATTTTTTTAAATACGAATAAGAATTATTCATATTTTAGTATAATTCTATTTTTTTTAAATATAGTTATTTAGAATAAATTTTTAATATAATCTGTATAAAATTTATACATTTTGAAATTTATTTTATTGTATAAATAATAAATAAAATCTATAATGAAATTCTCTGCAAAATTTTGTTATATGCAAAAATTTAATTAAAATAATTATTTTTAACATAGAATAAGATATATTGAGTGATCATAAAAAATGGAAGGTTTGGGGGGCGATTTTATTCTTCTTTCTACACCGAATGGATTGAATTAATATACAATTGACTAAACATTTATAAAATTTTCAGAATAAGCTTTCAGTCGCGTATTAATCATAAATTTGGCCAAAATTTTGTTACTAATATTTTTTTCATTTATGCTGGCTACTATAGTGATTATAGACTCCAATAAAGCACAAAATTGACAAATTTTTAAAATGCGGTTTGGGGGCGAAGCCCCCAATTTAAAACCCTCCCCATGGATCAATCCTGGCTACGCCACTGCACGTCATCAATATAACACATACAATAAAAGGCAGGATACTACATTCTAATAATCTTAGGCATTTAAACAATACCACCCGATATTATATTTTTATATAAACATATAGCATCTAATTAACGAATATACTAATTCATAATATAATATTATATATTATTACATATATTTTCATTGTATCAACATTATTTATATATATTTATGTACATAGGCGTAGCTAGGATTTTCCTAAAGGGAGGGGGAGGGGAATTAAAAAATTACTGGAGCTTCACCCCCAGACCCACTTTTAGACGGGCCTTCGGCCCGCTTTTGCACAACCTTGGCCGGATTACCTTAGTCTATATAGTCATAAAATATTTTTATAGGAGGTTAATTTTAATTTAAAAAAAGCCCAAATATGAAATGTAATTTTATTAGTTTATATGAAATATATTTTTATTAGTTTATATAAAATATAATAAATTACTTGTATATACATTTATATAATAGCATGGTAATAATTTATTCTAAACAAGTATAAGAAATTTATTTATAAAAGGTAAACATATAGTTGATATTTGTCTATTATAAAGAAATAGTTACAAAATACTAGGTAAAATTCCACTTTTACAGACATATTTTACAGTTAGAGAATATATTACAGTTAATATTTTAACAAATTTTACTAATCAATGTTCTTGATAATAAATATAGCAACAATTTGCATTCAATTATTTAACGCCATCTACTTATTTTAAATAAAAAATGATATTAAAAATTAATCTTTATATTATTCATCCCACAATGTCTTTAAAAGATGTTCTCTGATGTCCTTATCAATATTTTATAGTTTTCTGTAAAATAACTTGTCATATGATAATTGATAAAATTAGATATACTGTAAATCTACGATATATAATATTCCAATGTTTGTATTATGCTTTAATTTTTTTATTTAATTTATGATTTAATTTTATCAATAGTTTTATAATTATATTTTTCTTTTATTAAGATAAATAAATTAAAATTCTCACTTTATAAAAATATTTGATATATTATATTATTTAGTATTTTTATGGATCTATTATTAATAATTATAATACATTTCACTTTTGTCTTAAGACTTATATTTGGCTTATATTCCATTTCTTAAAAAACCATTTTGGTTCACTTTTTATATATAAAAATGCTTTTTTCCAAAAATTTATTAATTATGATTAATAGTTTTATAAAAAAAAATCAACTTTTACATATTTTCTTTCAAATTATTGTTTAAGATATATGCATACATTTTTGAGGGTCAATGCTTTTTTCCAAAAATTTATTAATTATGATGAATAGTTTTATAAAAAAAAATCAACTTTTACATATTTTCTTTCAAATTATTGTTTAAGATATATGCATACATTTTTGAGGGTCAGGGAGTGGGTAAAGGACTAAGGGGGATATTTTTTATTAGCTTAAAATAATATTCACAAAAAACAAAAAATGCAAAATTTCTGAAGAGGGGGGAAAATTTCCCCTTGCCCCCCCCCCTCCTGGCTACGCTTTTGTTTATGTATTATAATGCAATTATACTTGTAATTTCTAATCACTACAGGAATTTCAATAGAATAGCAATAAAAAGTGACAAATTGAAATGGGAATGGAATAGCGAATTAAAAAATTATTAATTATTTATCAAATTATATATGTTTTAAATGGTCAAAACGACAACAAGACTTTAAATTTATCCAAATGCTAACATCAATACCAACAGCTTATTTAACATAGACAGTTAAAATTAAAATCAGCCCTTATCCTACCCCATAAAGTAATTAAATATATGTTTCGGACATAAATTCTTTTTATCTTAGACTATAAGTGTTTAAGTAATCGTTCTAAGACAATTACGCGTACAAGTATACACGCGCCTTGCCCACAAAAGTGTAAAAGGTCCCTTATTTTTTCCCTCTATATTAAATATTCAGTTTGTTAGATTGGAAAACCTAGCATAGTTCTGTTGTACCCACAACAAGAGGGCGAAATGTTTTTATCACCTATCACGTAAAAGCATGATATTTTATTTAAGAATTTTAAATAAAATTCGAATGATTAATCTCTTCCTTTTCCACTCCTATCTCCTACCCCCTCTTATCCCCCTCCCTCTCTCAAAAATTTATACAATATAAAATATACTATAGAATGTGATGAAATATATACGAATATATCAAATGTTTTTTATAATTCAATATCTAGTAGCATAAAAATTTACAAATCATAACTAAATAAATTATGCTTGAGAGATAATTGAATTCGCGATATATTATCCTGATAAGAATTCGTATCTTTAACAATGAATTTATCCGTTATTTGTGAGGGGGCTCTATTTGTAAAGATTTGAGAAAGGCAGTTTCTAGGAGAATTCAAAGGCAATTCCCATTCTAGATTTAGCCTAAAATTGAAATGCGATAAATACCTGTATGTAAGAGTTGTAAACATTGAAATATCAATAATATTATAATAGCAATAATATAAAAATGGAGTGACTTTAATTCAAAAAAGAATATATATGTTGTATAGCCTAATGAAATTCAGTAGATGTTGGAGGCTTTAATTTAAAGCACTTGTACCATTTTCTTAATTTTAAAAGTTTTAATTTTGTTAATTCTATTACAGCATGCGAATAGTACTTACTATATGATTTCAGAAAATTTTTCATGAGATTTTGAACCAAATTTAATCAATTTTCTCAAGATTTTATATATTAATTAAGATTAATCTAAATTTTCTGAAATTCATATGGTAGGTAAGGTACTTTACACACACTGGACCATAACTCTGGCACTTAGGTCTTTAAAATTAAAAAAGTTTTAAATGATTTAAATGTTACCCTAAATTTTAATATAAATTCTTTAATATCTTAATAATATATTTCCTTTATAGAACTTTTATTTTTATTATAGAAATATATAATATAAATATGTACTTGAATTCGTTTATAATATGGAATCTAACGGGTGTCACTAGAAAGGAATAAGGATCATACCATTTTTCTAAAACTTTTTGATATTTGGTAATTTCTTCAAACCAATGATGCAATACTTTGTGGCTTGGTAAAAAAAGATAACATTATATTAAACGAAAAGTTTAGAAAAGAAAAATGCGAAAAAGAAAAATATTAAAAATATAAATATTTACTTTAATCCGGCACATATCAAACTTCGAAATTTTATCTCTGGTGGAGATTTGAATTTGTAGTGGGTAGCCTCAATATTTTCTAAAGACTTTTATATTATAAATATATTGAGTTGTAGAAAATTTATGAGCCCCACAAGTTATAAAAAACATTAATTTTTAAAATGAATTTTACTGTAAATTAATATGAGGACAATTTTTATAAAAACAAACTAAAATCTTCTGGCGAATGGTATGTAGTTTTAAAGAGGTGTTCACAAATTATTTTTTATTTAACCCCCACCTACTTGGACTTGTACTAAAGATTTTACATCAATTTGTCCAGAATGTTTATTTTTTTAAGCTCGCTGCACCCATTTATGAAAGACAATATTTTGAGGACCGAAAAATTAATTGACTATTTTCAAATTCGATTTCATTTTTTTCTAAAATTTTTAAAGCATACTAATATATTTTTACCGTAGAAGATTTAGAATTCTACTTAGTAAAAGCATTACCAAGAGAGGATTTTCTCTTTAAAATATTGTAACAAGTTCATTTATTGCAGGTTTTTCGTTACATTTTTTAAAAAATAATTTTGATTTTATTAATATGCTTTTATTCTGAAAATCTTTGGAATTACAATCATTATTATTAAAACGGAATTTTACTAATTCGTTCGTCTTTTCTCTAGTAAACAATTATATGCTCTAGAAAATAATCATTACCGGAAAGATATGACTAAATTTTTTCTGGAATATTTCCTGATAAAAGAAGGAAAGATTTAAAATTGATAAAATTCTAAAACTTTAATAAATAAAGACTAAAAATAACATATAACCCATTTATAAAAATTTTAAATTCTAATGGTTTATTCTATTATTTTATTAAATTTGTGAAAGTTCTTGAATTTGTAAGAAAAAATCAGGTTTTATATATGGTATTCTAAGGCTGTGTCCAATACATAAAAAAGTTTAATTCGAAAACTATAAACTTTATCGAAAAACACGAAATACACTTTTTTAATAGAAAGATAAAAATATTGCAAAAACATATTTGTGCAATTATTCAAGACTTTTTCATTAGGTTTCCTTAAAGTTTTAAAACCTTTTAATGAGGGTTTAAACGTAACCTAAAAGTTTATTGGGGAAAAAAATTATATTAATTATTTAGAAAATGTAAGGTAAAATGTTTATTTTTCAGATATATTACTTTTTCTAAAATAATTAAATTTAAATTTAAAAAAATATATTGCTATTTATATTATTATTAAAAGGTTATATTCCTAAAAAAAAATTTTCGTGATTCAGGCAATATTTCTATTCTTACTTTGGAAAAGCATATTACGCCCAATCACGGGTTAATTCAAATTTTATTTTTAACTCATGGGTTGACCATGACTCACATAGTTATTGGAGTTATTTCTGCCTGCTTCCTCCTTGGAACATCTATCTATCTCTTTATTTATTTATTTATTTTTAGATCATAGGTTATTTTTTGCCAAATTTTAACATACTAGATCCTGGATTTGATCCTAATTTTGGCAATTTACCCGGATTTATGATTTCCTCTTAAATTTAGGATTGTGATATAGATTATTTTGTTAAATATTCGATCCTTTTAAAAAATTATTTTTTTTTACTTAAAAAATTTATAAAATGTAATATTTTAAAATAAAATATTATTTTTTTAAAAAAATCTATCTCCATCACATTTTACCATTCTCCACCATATTTTATATTTTTCTTATAGGAATTTGATATACAACCTCAAGTTTTATTTATTGAATTAAAAATAAAATAATTATTTGTATATATTTACTAATGTCCATAGATCTAGATTATAATGCATATACAGTTATTGAAGTGACAGATATAGATGAGAATCTTTTATCTTTTCTTCAACTGCGATAATAATGTTAATTATCATTTCCTAAAATATAGATTTCCTTCATTCTATTAGTACAATCGCATATAGCAGCAATAATTCATTCCTAATTTAAGCTTAATTGATACTTATTCAAATAATTGTATACAAAATATTTCTCTGGGAAAAATTCTTCTCAAAATGCGCTTTCCCTAAATAATTTTTTTTAATTTAAATGATAATTTAATTGATATTTTGTTTACTGATATAAATAAAAATATATAACACATTTGCCATCAAGCGCTCCTGTGGAGCACTTTAGTAAAGCTAAATATGTTCTTAATGACACTATATTTCATTTATTTTTATACTAGTAATTTTGCATCGAGCATATATTTTTTTCAGAAATTTATAAAATAAGAAAAGGATCGCGATATTTTTTTTAAAAAAAAGGACGATCATGGATTCCGATCCCTTTTTTGAAAAGATAATGATCGGAATTCGATCCTTTTAAGGATTGATTAACAAGTCAGTATATACCTTTAAATAAAATATGAACTTTTATTTTTAAAGAATGAGCGAAGTTTTTTAAAGTATTTCAAAACGCGACATTTTTTTGAGCCACCCGGTATATTCAAAAAATGTTTTGGGCATTGTTTTTCTTATGAAAGTTTCTTTCATTTCACGGGGTATTTTTGCTAGAGAATTTTGTTACGTCCATGAATCATTATGTACATTATGAAAGTTTATTATAATTAATGCTGTAAATTAATGTAGATGAAAGTTAACTCGTTTAGAGAAAGGAACACAATTCGTTACTTGTTTCAAAGGTAACTAGTAATACGTATTTTTAAATAAAGGTAACGCAGAGCGTTATTAGTTACTTTAAATTTTTTCTTAAAAAATATGAAATATATTTTATTATATATTTTTTAAATTTAAATCATTTAATCTGAGTTTTTAATTCAAATCAACTATCAAGGTTCTTCAATTTTATTTATTACATTTATGTTTTTGAATTTTGTACAGTCAAGATTGTTAATCTAATTAATATTGAATCAATCAGGGTATGTTTATTTATATTCTCAAATATTTTTTTTTTTATAAATATAACTTTTTTATTTTTTTGACAATGTACATAAATAAAATTATATTAATGTTTAATAATATAAAAATGAACATTGAAAAGTTATTATATAAATAAATTATTCATTACGCGATTAAAATTATATAAAATATATTCTAATCATCATGTGAGATGAGGCTGCCAATGAAGCTGATGTAATTAGCCCTGTGAATTGCTATTGCTAGTCTTTGTCTTAAGAAGAAGCCTTCACGAGGTTCATCTGTTAGTTTGCGGATTAGCGATCCAAGTTCCTTGAAGAAAGAAAGAGCACGATTCCCAAAGGTAGTCAAGGTAGTGGAAATGATGTGAATGAATAAGTGATCTTGGGATATCTCTGAATATTTTGCAATTTTTAGAAGCTCCTTGTTCTCCAGAATGTTAAGGGATTGATTGGAAGGAGCCAAAGAATTAATACAAGAGTAATCCCAGACCAAGAATTGACCTCGCTTCCAGGGAATTTGAGAGATCCCGTCAGGGCGTTTCCCATCAGATCTGAAAAGACCAGAGGGTTCGAGAATAGAAAAAATTTGAGCGGATCTCAGAGCTCTAAGAATTATAGAATTGCAAATGTTATGTCTAACGATGCGGCCTTTACATGAACGACAATGTAGACTATGCCTTCCATTACTCAAAACAGCAGAACTGCAGCCGGCACAGATGTGGGGTTGGGTTATTAAGCAATTTAAACGGATGCCTATAGAATGAGTTAGCTCATTTTGGGTCAATTGTAATTGTAAGTTCGCGGATGGAATGGCTTCGAGGAACTCATGTCCAGAACCATTAAGCAGAGAGGAGAATAAGGGACGGTCCAATGATTGCATACTGGAAAGGAGAGATTCGACGCAGCTTGCAATAATGGGTTTATCCCAGTCCTTCTGCTTGTTCGTTTCTGGAATTGGGTGGTCGACAATGAATCGAGATTTCCATTCAATGATTGCACTATCAAAGGAAAGGTCAGAATTTAAGGAATTAGGATTGACTAAATTTTTGGTTAAAAGACAGCTCGATATAAAGACAGTTAAGGTAAGATCGGAAGGGGATCTGATGCCTAGTCCTCCCATCTTGGTAGGAAGGGTGGCTTGTGTCCATGCTAATTCATGGAATTTTAGATTAAGGATACTTTCAATTAGGACTTTAATCCCATTTTCATAAATGCCTAAGGAAGTGGGAAATTTAAAAATAGGGGTAGAGCGGAGCGCGTAAAGAATTTTTGGGATATTGAAGAAATATTTTAGGAGAAAAAAGGCTTTATGAGAGGGGAGAAGGGAAAATAGCCAACTCATTAAGGGTTTCGAGTGTAGATTGTAGGAAGGATGATATGGCTGTGTGTCCACCAACGGGAGCACCTAAGTGAGATAATTCCTCCAGATTAATCTGTTTGAAATTATGAAAATTGTTTTCAGATGAATTAATTGGAATGAATTCTGATTTTTCATAGTTGATTGATAGACCAATGGATAGCCCTGCATCCGTGATTATCATTACAGCTTTATTGATTTCGTCGTTTGGACCACAAAGGATTCCATCATCGATGTACCATGCATGTAATGATAATGAACATGCCTCGTTAATAGATTTAACAATTTCATTGATCCCTAAACAGAAAAATAAAGAACCTAGAGGATCTCCCTGTTGTATGCTGTCAATCTAAGGAATTTTATAGGTATCAAATTGGAGAGTGGAAGGCTGTTGATAGCATTAATAAAAGAATTTAGTGTAACCAGGAAAGAGAATACTTGGATGAGCTCAGAAAGGAATTCCGAGAAAGAGTGTTATAAGCATTGTTGAAGTCGATTTTGACTAAAGATTCGTTGGTTGGCTGGGTTTCTAAGTGTATTCTCGTTAGATGAACAACAGCTTCACAGCCGCCAGGTAATTAGTTGCATATTTATTTTATTTCTTTAGATGAAAATATTAAGTAGGCCATAGCTCCAGTTTAAAACATTTCTTACGCCAATAAAGAAAATTAACAGCATCCTTTCTACACTTTTTAAGTGTAGATTGTATCCTAATTTAAATATTTCAACCACGATGTCCAACAGCTCAAATTTTTAAAAACAATATGAAGGTAAAACTATGAATTCATATTTAATTCTGATAAAAATTTTAAAAAATTTGATGAGGAATAGCAAAAAATAATATTAATAATAAATATAAAATTATATTTATACTCATGGTAATATATATTATAATTCAAATTTAACTTAATTTTCAATATATAAATATTGTCAAAAGCTTAAGAAAAGTTCAGAATGCAATTATTAGTTTTAAAAAAATATATATAAATATATGCCTATACATATGGAAAGGATATATCTTTATATTTGCTGAAAAAAAAATTTTTTACGAGTGAAGATTCTTGTGAAGATGATATAAGTTTTTTTGAAATAGAACCTATTATAATAAATTCCCCTAATTAAAATTCTAACTTATTAAATATAATAGAACCCTCGCATCTTCTGCGATGGTTGAACGTACAGCAAACGATGTGTTGAGCACTAAGCGCTTTTGTTTATCTGATCAAAATTTTGAAAAATAATTGATGTTAAAAATAAATTATTACAAAAAGAACTTATCCTATAATATTTTATTTTTGTATAATTTTATTTTTATTATCAATATGAGAAAAAAATGAAAATAAAAAGAAAATTTATATATAATATTTAGTATTTTTAACGAGTAACGCATTCCTTTCCACATGATGCATTCTTTTTTTCAAACATAACCATTAACGCGTTTCTTTTTTGAAGTAACGTTTACAGCACTAATTATAATTAGAAATAGATGTGCTTTTTATATTTTGTCACTGTGGTTTAATTATTATTCTCTTCTTAACTTAATAAAATGCAAAAATATTTCTAAAATATTCGGGAATTTTTATTGAGAAGGCCCTATTTTCGGGGGTATATTCAAGAGACCAATTATTCGTGAATAATTTTCTCACAATTAAATTATCGATAGGGATATAAAATGAGGGCTTAAATTTTTTAACTTAAACCGTCATGAAAGTTGTGGGACTCCAGAATTGTTCTTTTTTAATTTTTTATGTTAAACAAATTCGATTGGATACATATAATTTTTTTAAAAAAATATTAAAAATTCTATACTTTTAAACAGGGTTCCTAGTAAAAGGTAGAAATTTATTATATCCATACCCCTCTGTAATTTGTTAATTTATAATGACTTATTTTATAAATTATATAACTCGGGCAAGTTATATTAATTAAAATTTTGTTTATTCATTCTTCTCGTGGAGTGGATAAGCACATTGTATTTTGGACTCCCTGTTTTATAAGTTTTTGAATCAATCAAGAAGGACAAATTATTCACAGATTTATTTTTCAAATATATATGTCAATAATCAAAAATAACATTAAGAAAATAAAAATAAAATATTTATAATTTCTTCAAATTTTGATATTCTTAGGCATACATGATATTTTCAGGGCTGTGAACCCTCCTTCAATGGTTCAGGTTTGGGTTCTGGTTCAGTGAAATATCTCTAAGCCAGATCCGGGTTCAGGGTTCGTGGTCCAGAAAAATAATGACTTATAAAATTTAGTAAAAATAGAAACATCAATTTTTATAAACTTTATTTTACCATATTTGGGCTTTACCATAAAAATAATTTATCATTCTATTTTACCTTGTGATTATGTTCTTTTCTTTAGTCTTACTTTTAATTTAATAAAAATATATATTCCTTAAATATATATTATTATCTATTGTTAAAAAAATAGTTACAAAATATGCTGGTAAAATCTTAAAATTTTTACATAAAATGGAGTACTCTAAAATATAATAAAAAAGATTCCACGCAAAATAATTTTCACCAGAAAATGCTTTTATATTGAAAATAAAAAAAATTGTGTTTAAAAATTTACATGTTTTTTTATATTTTAATTTTAATTGTTTATTTTTAATATATATTTTAAAATAAATAAAAATTCAATATTTAAAATAAAGTTATTGAACCCTGAACCCTAATTTTAAAAAAGAGTTAGGGTTTGGATTCAATAAAATATTGAAGTTAAAAATTTATATTTAAAAATATATACATAATATATAACATTCTCTACACATAAAATATATAAATAAATAAATTATTAATAAATAAACACAATTTAAGTTAAGTCATCAGGATTTAATTTTTCATGTTTTGAAATACATTTGGGTAGGTAAATTCCGATAGATATTCTTTGCCATAAGTAACAACCCTTTTTTGGATTACCTATGATTAAACCAGCGTTCCTATGTTTTAAATATTTTGGGCGTGTGATTCAAATGAACCATAGGTGTCTGAAACTATCGGAACAAATAATAAATGGTTGGGTGACTTTATATATTGGGTTTTACTTTTGGCTCTCATGATAAAGTTAATAGAAATTATTGTGGCAAAACGTTTACGAAAATTCTATTCCAAGTTAGAAGTATATAAAAGGGTCATTACACTGGGTTTGATTTGGTTACCGGAGCTGAGGTCAGAGGTTACAATCAGGAAGGGATATTTGTAGCTCTCAACTTTCTATTGAGTTGATGGCAGAGATTAAAAGTTTGTCTTCACAGAGGGTGATGGTTTATTGGGGCATATATAAATTCTGACTTTTATGTTAGTCAGTTATTAATATGTTCACATGGCTATCTCGTGACAGATTTTTAAAATGATGGAAGAGAGCATAAAATTCCTTTGCACAGACTTCAAATGTAGGTATTACACGTAATTCACTTTGTCTGTACGAGCTGAGATATGTAGTATTTTGGACGTTTCTACTCCATGCTAGTTGCAATGACTTGATGGGAATCAATAATGTGAGAGTCAGGGCTTCATTAAAGTTTGCAAATAATGAAAGGAAAGCTGATATACCGATCGGTAAACGGAGGGTAAAACTAATAAAAGTTGGAAGTAAGGCTTGCATCCAGTTATAAACCATTTAGATTAGGGATTGACCAAAGGTTATTTTGGGTAAATTTTGATTGTTTTATCACCTATAAATTTTATTTTATGGCCTCGATTGGAATATCATCCTGTCCTGTTGCTTTTCCAAAATCATAGTTTTGCTTAATTTAAACGATACTAGATATGGACAGGATAGGCCTGACAGGTAATAACTTGGGATGAGAGAGATATAATGTAGGATGAGTTTATAATAATACTTATGCAATATGGAAATCATTCAATTAATAGTATTTTTTATTTTTGCGATATTTCGTTAGCTATATTTTTTTTGTCTTTGTTAATCATTTATTACAAACTTAAAAATAAAAAATAAAAGAAATTGATTTATGGATTTCCATATAATACTATGGTAAGCGGAAAATGATACCTTGGAGAAAAAATCCAGAAATATTTTTTTATGAAAACATCACCAAAGATTTCCTCGGAAAAAAGTTTCCCAGATGTTTTTCAATGGAAAATAATTTCCGGATAATACCATTGAAAAAAATTCCCCGAAATTAAATCTTTGGGAAAAAAATTCATTCGGAAAATAAATCACCAAATTTTTAAGCAATACACCTACTTTAAAACGTGTGAATATAAATATTATCTAATAGATATTATTTAAAATGATCAATTCTAAATATATAATGTAAATTTATTTAGTTGTAAGTAGAAGGGATGAAGAGTTAAAATATTTGAATAAATAAAAATATCTTTATAGAAACCTGTTCCAATAGCTGAATCGGTGTTAGTAATGCCTTATTATTATCGTCTAAGCTACATGATTATTTATATATTTAAATACAAATTTAAAAGACTAGTAGTTTGGATTCATAACTCGGAAAAAATCAATTATAATCGTCAGCTCGTAGTCAAGTTTTCTCACTGAAAAGGTAGGGATGAAAGTGCCGGGAGGGGTAGGGTATTATAAATGTGAATATTTTGTCTATATTAGGCTAAAATTCATAGTTCTAGTTTAATATAATATTGATTTTAGAATACAAAGTTATATTGTTCTAAAATGTTGATAGCAAATGTACATATAAACTGTTGTAAACATTTTTTTTTCATAAGTCATTTTATTGTTAATAGAAAGCCTAATTAAATTTATGTAATATTTTTTTATTTAAGTAAAACTATTAAATAGATTCATAAATTCCATTATGGAGGAAAAATTTGGGGGGGGGGGGGGCTCAGAAATGTATTTGATATCAGTTTTCCGCGTTTTGAGTATATGCCAATATAAAAAAAAAATAGTGCTAAAAATATTTTATTTTAAAATATATTAAAAACAGCTAGGGTGCCAAAAAAATAAAATTACATAAGATGATGATAACTTTAGTATGTGTTTAATGATTTACCTATTCTAACTTTTTGGGCTAATCCATTCTATTATTTCGGACAGCCATTTAGAAATATAAAAATAACAAGAGAAGCTAAGATGGAGCCTTATGGATTCTTAGTCAATTAGTTATTTAAAATTTGAAAATAATTTAAAACCTTGATGTGTAAATTTAAACTTATGATATAGCATTTGTCCAAAATCTAGATTACCTTTAACCCACATCCCAAAAATGCCATTTAAATATAATAATTTATCCATTCGTATCTTCAATTAATTATAGTGCAAAAAATTAAAGAAAAAGATATGGTGTCTGACTTGTAGGCGTTGCATAGATTAAGCTTTGGATTTGAAAATTCATTATTTTTACTATCTCTGGATATCTCTTGTATTACCTAAAATCAAATATAAATACGAATATATAAAACAGCTTTATATAACTCAGGATTATCTATTGCCAAAAAATATCATTAAAATTTCAACTGTAAACAAATTCCTTTTCTTTATTTAAAAAATATATTGTTGTCTTGTTACCCGTTGTATTACTTCCCAAGTATTTTTTGGATTTGCTGAGAGGAATGAAAAATTTGATTTGGAGATTAAACCGTGTTTAAATATATCTTGCACGCTGGAACATAAACTGTGTTTAAAAAGAGTTAATCATATTTTTTTCCACCTTTTTATCTATTAATTAAAAAATCAAGCCTCATTAATGGAATATATTATAAAATAATTTATAATAAAATTCGATACAACATTTGGCAGCCCATAAAATTCTAATTTGCATGAGCCTAGCCCTAGTATGATTTTAAAAAAGTTATATTATATATCTTTTAAGGTCCCAATCATAAGCGCATCCAGGATTTTGCTAGGGGGGAGGGTTATTGGGAGGGGCGTCATTCGCAAGTCTTATGCCAACTTTACATCTGACGTTGGTCCAGATAATGTTAAACGGCTTGATTATTTTAACTAAAATACTATTACGTAAGCCTCGAGATTTCCTTAATAGTTGTCCAAATGCCATCTATGAGCAAAATCTCCAGACTTCCTTAATGTTTTTTGGTTAAAATTTATGGTTAGCCTTTTTAAAAATCAAGCCGTTTAACAACAGTGTCAGGTCACATTTCTCTTATATATAATATTGATTTTCACTATATAGTTAAATTTCTATGTGCCTTTTAGAAAAATTATAGTCAATATTTTAAAAGTTATTACTTATAATTACATATATATTTTCTTCATCTTCATTTTTTGAGATGGGGGAGGTGTGTGGGTACCAATAATTTGCTACATTTACAAAATTTTACATTCACCCCTTGGTTAACTAACGGCTTAGAATTTCTTTGGAGTTACAAATTCAAAATTTTGGTTAATAATAAAGATACAAAAACAATTAAAAAGTTTTACTTTTAAAAAATATGCTAGGACGTAATGTTCTTAAAAACCGCGATTTAGCCTATAATTAAAAAACACATCTAAATCAAGATTTTAGCCAAACAAATATTTCTACCTCAAGATTTTTCCTAGAGAGAGCTAAATCTCTTTCCCATCATTTGGCAAAATATCGAAGCTTAGATATTTGGTTTGGCGAAATCTTAAATTTTTTAAAATTGACTAGATCGAGATTTTAATAACACTACTAGGACTCAGCCTTAGTAGTATTAATGACAATCGAACTAAATCTATTATAGAAAATTATTTTATATTTTATTTGAATGATAAAAAGGAGCAATCTAAGTAAATGATCATCATAGCTGTCATTCTATGACTGCTAGTATCAGGCGGATATGCAGCGGAGGAAGGGACACCTTCCGGCCAAAAATTTAGATGCCGGTTAATTTTCAAAAATATTACCGATTCCTATTATCATGTTATATTCCAATATATATTTATTTATTATATTCACAGCAGAAATAAATATGCTATTAATTTATTCTATGTATTAATATCGATTTCAAATATTCCTCAGCGCTGTATATTTATCTACCATTATAAAATTTCCACCAAATCATTTGAAATTTTTTTCATTAAAACGAAAGTAAAATATTTCAAAAAAATGACATTGATTTGATCGAGATTAGGAGAATAGCTGAAAAAATTATATTTGAACTTAAGGAAATTAGGGCAAATGTAGATGACGAATAACATAAATTATATGTCATTGTTGAGTCAAAAGCAAAGCTCTATGAATTTAATATTTGTCTACCGCAGCAAGGCGATCCCGTCGTTATATTATTAATAAGCTCAGTAGAAATATACAATAAAATAAACTCTCCCTCTTGAATTTCTTTATAACTCAAGTGAATAAAAGGTTTGTTGATCAGGCAGCACGTGCAAATCTGTAATCTTCCGAATCTATTTCAAATCTTGATAGAGAAAAAATTAAATTTTTGACAGATTTTTATTGCGAAGAGATTAAAGTATCCCATGATGCATTACTAGCTGAATGATAACTATCGTCTAAATGGTTAAATATGGTTAATAATGTTCCAAAAAAAATGTTATCGATGCTTCGCATAATTTCAAATCATTTTAGACTATTTAATATTGACAACTCTACCTAACTTCTACCAATGAAAGAGCATTTACTTCTTTAACAAGAATAAAAACATACCTGAGCAGTATTGTTGTTAAATGACTGGATAGGAGCTGATTTTTAAAACGGCTAACCCAATATTTTAGCCGGAAAAATAATAAAATATTGTCTAAGCCTCCAGATTTCGCTAATAGATGTCCAAACCTTTGTGCCATCTATAAGCAAAATCTTTAGGCTTGCGTAATATTTTTCTGGATAAAATATTAATTAGGCATATTTTTAAATCGGCTCAATCAAGCAGTTTAGCAACATTAATGAGAAGTAATACCTCTAAAAATATTTTGAATGGGTGTTTCATAATATAAACTTAACTCAATCTCAAAGACGATTGAATTTTACATTATAAATTTATAATATGCTTGTTAATTATATTTCCCCCCATTTATAATGCACCATATTATTTTTTTCATGAATACTCTATAAGTTTCTATATAAGCAATAATTCTTAAGAGTATTTTTTTGAACTATTCTATATATTCAACATCTATTTTTAAAAACGTAATTTATAAGTGATCTGCATCCGGCCTAATTTTTCAAGCCCGGCCCGGCCCGAAATTTTTTTAAAAAGTTTTGCCGGCCCGGCCCGAACCCGAAATTTTTTTTAAAAGTTTTGCCGGCCCGGCCCGAACCTGAAATTTATTTTAAAAAAATTTACCGGCCAGGCCCGAATTTATTTAAATATAGAAATTAATTTTTATAATTACTTAAAATAAAAGACATATGTTATATAGCGTTTAGTTTCAATAAATTAAATCAACAATTTTTATTTTACATAAAAAATTCAATATAAAATTGATAAATTTAGATATATTTAATAAAATTTCCAAGGTCCGACCCGACCCGGCCTGAAATTTTTTTAAAAATATTAGGGCCGGGCCGGACTCGGGCCTAACTTTGCAGATCTCTAATTTATATATCAAATTTTAAATGCTTAAAATAATTTATATATTTTTATAAATTTCTTTCGAGACATTTATTTTATAGTGTAGTGATTCATACGCCGATTATATACATTTATTATTTTATTTATATTTAAATTTGTGTTTTATAAATTATCAATATTTTATAGTCACTAGTCCTAATAAATTTCTGAAACTTAAAATATTCCTAAATAATCATAGAATGATTCTTTAAAAAATTAATTACACCCCCCCCCCTTCCCATAGTGAATTCTTCCATACGCGCCTGGCTAGAATTAATATATTAAAATACCCAATTTTTTGTTTAAAATTATGTTTATCATAATCGATTGTTTAAAATTATTTTTTAATATAAATTTAATTCACTCACGGTCCTCTAATGAGATGAGCTACCATTTCATGTATTGAATCGTCACCAGCTGCGCAACTCTAAAATTAATGAATAATACAATTTTTTTTTGTAAGAAAGTATTTGATATTTATTCCTTAAACTATGATCCGCACCAGCATATTTGACATTTCATTCTAATAGTTTGTAATTTTATCCTTATTTTAATCTTTTTTCTATAAATATATTCAATCTATTCATTAATTTACCCATTATTTGTTTTTCTTTTCCAGAATGTTTATTCCTGCAATAAATAACATAAATTTTCTTTTTAAAAAAACTTAGACTATTAAAAACTAGGAGATTATAATGAGCTAGGCAGGTCCTTTAAAAAGGGATCCAAATAAAGATACTTTATAAAAAATATCTTAGGTACTGATACAAATATCTTATTAAAAATGTCAAAAAGATACATACTTTTATTTTTTTCTTAAATAAGAGTATCTTAGATACTAGATGCTTTTTATGAAAGTTATCATAAAATTCGGTGATTTATTCTTTCAGGAATTATCTCAACATTATTTGAATCATTTAGAAAAAATTTTTAAATAAAAATATTCTCATAATATTCTACGATATAATTTTTTTACAATTAATAATCAAAATATTATAAAAAGAATTATTTAGACAAAACAATTAAAGAATTTGGTTAACCCAAATATTACATTGTGACTAAAGGATAATCCAAGATGTTGGACGAAATATCAGAGACCTGCAGAGGCACTATTTGCACCGCCCGGCCCGGATTTTTTTAAAATATTACATTTATTTTTAATTTATATAGCTAATAATGACGTTTTAAAATATCCAGTCTTAAAATATACGGCCCGACCCGTGTATTTGGGCCGGATTTGCAGTCTATGCGAAATATAAATAAATATGTTCTATCCTCCCAACCACCACCTCTTTTTATATAAGATTATTTTAATATAATGATAATTGATAAAATATTTCAGAATAGAGAATACTGTAGATAAAGTAAAAGACATAATCATAAAATATGAATTCAAATATAATATTAATATTAGCCTATTCATTATGAGCAACTACAGGTAGACCAGCACTTTTTGTAGAAATATCTAATTTAGAATAAAGTATGACGAAATTTGCCAAAAAAGTATAAAATTATTAATATAAATATGGAAAATTGTATAAATAAGAAAAATATAACGAAGAAAATAATGCAAGAATCAACGAAAAAAATATGGTTAAAAATAAATATTGAATCCTTTAAACAAATTATATAAGTATCAGTTTCTGTATTTTTTGGCAAGGAAAAGATGCGAGTCTCTTTTGATAATAAATTATATTAGTTATAGATTCAAAAATCTTATTAAAAATGTCAAAGCTACAATTTACAAAAAATATAAAAGTATCTTATATATTAGATACAAGTATTTGCTATACTGCCTAACTGTACATAATCATATATAAAATTTGAAAAAAAATAAATGTAACTATTTTGAAGGATTCTTTGATTAATTTTATGTAAGCAGAAGGAAACCAGCCTCTAACACCGTTCATTTCTCCCAACCAACAATGGTCATCTTTTGAGTTTAGTATCTGATATGCGTTTAATTTAAATAAAGAGTGCTTTAAATATTAAATAGAAGGGGTTTATAGAGTACTAATCGTTTTTTTTGCCTTAACCCGACCCGAGCCCTATGGCAAATAGGCCCAAGCATGATCTGATACCAAAGTTCAATTTCTATATTATCAGGACAAAGATTTTTTTTTGTAACCGTAACAAAAGTTATATACCCCCCCCCCCTGGAGCCATTATTCCCCCTTCCTACCAACTTATTTTATAACAGTACCAAATACTAAGCTCTTTTTAATTATGATATGAGTTTAATATTAGAGTTGTAAAAGAATATATTATTTGATCAGTCTTAAAATGAACACTTTATTTAGCAAATTTGGCCTTCCTTACAGGGTTGCCAGGTCTCCCCCCCCCCAATAATTTCTTTAGCATTTTGACATTTTTAATATATAAATAAAAATTTTGAGAAACAGTAATTGATTATTTTTATATTTTTAAAATAAATTTTAAATATTTATTCAAAAAACATGTCTAGTTTGTAAATTTCTTTCTATCCTTACCTTAATCATATGTTTTATTTTTATCCAATAATAAATCATCATCATTCATTCACATTTTATCATTTTCATGTGTGTTTATATATAACATTATAAGGCTAGGCCCTTAATTATCACGTATCATGTTTAAATTCATAAGGTAATATTGTACTTATTTCAATGATAATTATTTAATTTATTTTAGTACAATCACATTATTATTATAATCAGTGCAGAGGAGTGTATCTACATCTATTGCAATACAAAAATATGCTCCAAAAATAAGAAATAATACAGTACAGTTGCGAAAATGGCATACACGTAACATGTAGTACAACTTTCACAGAGTTACTTATCATAGCAATGTGGGTCGAATCTTTTCCCCGTAATATTTAACGACTCCACGCTAAGGGAAAACTTGATAGAACAAAAATGAGCAAGGCTATCACCAATGTTTTATAACCTGAAAACAGGAGGTCAATTCTTGTTTGAAAGATGGACATCCATTTGCAATTCTAACAGATACATCTAATAAGAAATATTTCCTCTGCTATTTCAACAAAAATAAGGGTTTTTCAAAACTATTAAAAAAAATTTATCCTCAAATAGTGTAAAATCCAAAGATATAGCTAACCATATAATGGTAAATAGCAGATTTGAGAATATCAATGAGTTGCATGTCAGCTTTCTGCGTTAATAATGACTCACTGAATTTTGCAAAACCCAAAGTGTATATATAGAATTGAGGCAGCACAATGTTGACTTAATATCAATTGTCTGTATTATATACTACATAATTCTTGCAAGAAGTCAATGAATGTATTATCTGTGGATGTCGAAATAATTGTAATGAAATGTTTTAACTTTAGTTCAACAACTAAAAGAGTTAATGAATTAAAAAAAGTTGGAGGAGTGATCTTACTTGGAATAATGTGAGTTGTTTCGACATGTCCCTATCAGGTGGTTATTAATACCCGCCTCAATAAAATTTTACGAACCTTTAAAAAAATATTTCTTAAATAAAGATTATAAAAGCTGCCCTATTTTGAAAAAATTTTTCGAGAATAAAATGGCAGAGGCATATTTAGGAATGATTTCACACTTAGGAAATCTACTACATGTTGTTAATATGCAGTTGCAATCAGAAGAATATTTTTTAAAAAAGATTTACAAAATTATGCTGCAGCTGTGTTCATCTTTACATTTAAAATTGACAATAAATTTTATGGCGCTATTGCTGAAGTATCATATTAAAATGTTTAAATATTACTCTAATTAATGTATTTTTAAACGAAGCAAATATTTTTATCAAGACAATTTTAGAATATTTGCAATCAAAATTTGATTTCAATAACTCGATTTACAAATGTATAGATATTATGACCTTGGAACAGAAACTATCAATTGATGGTTTTCATAATTTAATAAATATATTAAAAATACCGATAGGCATTGATGTCTTGTTTGAGGAGATTCAAATTTTCTTTTATAAATAGTATAAATAAAGTAACTTCACATCAAAGAAGTTATTTAGAAAAATATAATATTTTTTAAACTTCAACTCTATTTTATAATTAATATTAAATTGTTATTAAATTTCTAAATTTATTGTAACAATAAGAATACAATTATTGTAATAACTTACCGATATAACGTCACCCTTAGCGAATGCCAATTCATCCTTCTCCTTGCCTTCAAATGCATGAATAGCAAAGCCTTTCTTCTTCTTGACCTTGAAAATTTTATTTCTTCCCCAATTATTATTGCTTCTTTTATCTTGTTCAATTTTTATAACTTTATTTAATTCGCAAATTTTAAACTGGGATATTTTTTCTGAAGTAACATTTAACACGTCATGATCGGGAAGACAATTCTAAATAATTTGTTTATATGGGGGTAATATTTAACATATATTATTTTTTGCAATATTAAAGGCTATAAAATATATTCTGGCTAGCAAGTTATAAAAAAAACATATTAATAAAAAAATTAAGAACTAGCCCACATTAGACCTTCACTCTTTGTCTGACATATACATATCCCAATGGTAAATCAAAATAAAATTTTCCCGACTAAGATTCGAAACTGCGTCAGAAACACCAGCAAGTTAAGGTGTATTAACTATAGTTGTGCTTCGAGTTTAAAATTTTCAGCAATATTGGAATCCTGAGTGGGCATAATAATTTTATTTCAAATTTTATCTGATGGGTAGTAATTTTTTTTAAATTCATGACTCGTGATTCGCATTTTTAATAATTAATTTTAAAAATCCTAGTTAACCTTTTTTGATTTCACGATTTTTCATGTTTCACGTTGATGGAGTTTAAAATTTAATTTTCAGATCATTTAATAAAATTAATAAAATAAACTTTTGAAATTTAATATTTTATGCTATATTTATATTTGTTTATTTATGGATTTTTTGTTTCTGGTTCACAGTATACAGATAACTAAGTGAAAATTAAAAAAATATTTTTTTGACAGATTTTTTAATGTTTCAAGGATGGTTTTCAATACCTCATATAATATCAAGTTCCGATTTACCATGACGTCAAACAAGGATCTCAAAGAATTTAGATTATTAATTATATACATAAAAATTTATAAATTGCTTCTTTACAACTAATTCTTTAATGTTATAATAATATATTTAAAATACAAGTCAAATAAACAAACATTTTGAAAATATGTCAAGATAGAAGAGGGCGTGTTGGGCATGAGTAAAATGTAATATTTCATGAGTGAGCATAATTTTTAGAGAATTAAATTCTGCCATGTCTAAAGAGTGTAAAATCTTTTCTATCTTCGTAGGCAGTCAGGCGTGAAAAAAAATTAATACACAACTCTGGTATCACACTTCCAGACAAAGGCATAGTTAGAATTTTTCCAAGGGAAGGGAATAGGTGGGGTTTTACTCTATAATTTTATTGGAGGTCTTTAAGTCCAAATATTATGTCTTTGACAATGTTCGATTTTTATATAAATAATTTTGGTTTGTCATTTTTATTACATAAAAAAGCTTTTTTCTAAAAATTTATTATAATTCTTCCTTTTCAATGATTTTAGTGATATGTATGTTGTATGCATTGGAAAGGGGGGGGGGGAAGGTGTAGGGGAAACTTTTTATTAGCTTCTTCTTAAACCAATAGTTTTATAATGAATTGGAGTTTTTATTTTTTAATAATGATACATATAAAATAATTTTACATTATATATAAAAATTGAAACTTAATTTTGGTCACTTTAATAAATATTTTGGCCAAATAAAAGTAAGGAGAGATTGTGATTTCTTAACATAAATCCTAAATACCAATCATACACAGACATGAAATTTTATTTTCAAGATTTTAAAATATTATATTTCATATTGACTGCCATAATTGACGTGCATGGTTTAGCAAGACCCTCAAAGCTCTAAATTGACTTATCATGATTGAAATAATATCTAGACAAAATAGATACTTATAAAACTTTCTCAAATTATAAAAGAGAGTTGAAACTTACTGTAAAATTTAATTTATATGTAAATGTATATATAACTATAAAATTAACATTTTGTCATGTAAAAATCTTTTGAAATTGACATCAAAATTTAATTTCAACAAAATTTTTAATAATTGATTATAAAAGATTCACCAGGAAAATTTAGTTAATGATTTTGATTTATCTAGTTTTAAAATTAGCTTTATAGATATTAGATAAGAAATTGATTTGTTTTATTACAACTTACAGGGATTCGGACTAACTATAAACAAAAAATTCCTTATGAGTTATCTATAAAAATTGAGGCTAAATATAGGGGAAAGTATAATAGCGATCCATAATTCAAAATATAGTAAACTAAAAAATTAAACTATTATTATTAAACTAGAATACATTATATAATGCGAAATACTACTTATTCAAATGATATATATATAGGCATGTTCCAATCATTCAAATTTGAAAATTTGAATTATCGCAATTCAAAAAATAATTATAGTATACATGTTAAGATAAATATATTGAGTAAATTATTACATAATGTGTGTGATGACTACATTCCCATTGCAACGAAGCGAAAAAATGTCTGACTTCCAAGATTGTTTCTCTCAGTTTTGTTAATATTTTGTCCCTAACTAAGTTCAAGTTACCGCCCAATCTAATTTCAGGAATGTTAATTTTACAGTTATTACTATGACATTTTTGGTTAGTTGAAGGCAAAAAGTATCCATTTTCCAATAACCTAATTTGTAAATAAACCTCTCTCAACTCCAAAAGGGTGCAGCACATATTGGAAAAACTATCAAAATCGTATACTATATTATTATCAGTATCATTTACGGAGTTCTTTGAATTGGTATGGGGAGACGGAGAAAAAATCTATTTGAAATAACAACATTTAGAAAGAGTACTAAATTTATATCGTATGTGAAAACTGCTGGGTTAATTACGTTAAAGAAGCAAACGGTTATTTAATAAAATATATTGACTATAGGTATGCAATGGGCAGATTTTAGCTATAGGCTCACAATTTAAAAAAAATATAATTTGCAGTCTGATCGTGAAAAACTCTCCAAAGCATTGTTTAAATTGATTGGTTGGATTCTACATTTATTTTGAATATTTTATTTTAATATATTTACTTATATTTGTAAAATATGCAATACCTTACTTTTAAATAAAAAGATTATTTTTAATATATACAAGCCCATCCTATCCATCTCGTCCATAAAATGTTATAAAACCAATTTTCCCACCTACATTTGTTGTTTAAATAATATTTTTCACTAAATTGGTGGTGTTAAGGGGGTGAATAATATATTGGAGGATAGGTAGGCATACATCAATATATTTTGTGGACGTGAGGGGCAGGGCGGGCTTATAATTATTAAAAATTAAATAATTTTAACCCTTTTTTTAAGATTTACTAAAATTAATATAATTTATATATGTTATATTTTGAACATTTAAAATCTCCATTAAACTTGCAGTTTAATTTTGTCAATATTGAAATATCTTATTTTTTTTACATATAGCTCGATATACTTTTTTCAGACATATTAAATAACAACATAGTAGTTTATATAAGGTAAAATTATATTTTACTAAGTCATCTATCTTTTTAGCCGAATCAAATAGTGTTAGGGATTGGCTAAGTGTTCGCATAATCAATTTATTGACGTTTTTCGATGGAGCCAATTTATTCATGATATTTTTCAAACTTTCGGACTAATAAAGTTATAATGAATTTTAAAATAAAATATCTTAACATTCAATTAGTTCTAAGCGAGAATATATAACCTTTTAAAGCTAATTTTTTTTTATTTTAAGATCTATTTATAATTGTGTCCTTTAAACTTCTTAATAACAAGTATACCTTTTTAAACTATGAAATTTATAACTACTGTGAAAGTGAACCCTAGTTAACATATAAGATAAAACGCTAATTACTATTAAAAAAAGGTTATTATTTAGATCAAAACCTACTATATTTACTTGCATAAGCGTAGCCAGGAGAAGAATCGGGGAAGATTTCCCATACCTTTTGGAAATGTCCGTGATCTTGTAAATATCATTTTACGCTAATAAAATATTTCCCCCACACTCCTCCACCCCCTTTTTCCAAAAATATATACAATATATCACTATAAACAATAATTTGATAGAAAAATAAGTAAAAATTAATAATTTTTTAAAATAATGACTAAATATTGATTGGCAACTTTGTCGCATTTCTTAAATCGAAAAATCAACCTGTGTTCCTTCTCTTTTCAACTTCATCGGGAAACGGTTATGATTTTCGAGAAGCCATTCCTTTAAGTAATCTTGATTTACTACTTATAAATGATGAGCTACGTCATGCCATCGGATTCAGACTTAATTGCGATATGGTTATACCATACACCTGGTCATTTTGTCAGACTTTTGACTTAAAAGGTCGTCATTCCCTGCATTAAAAAGATGTAAGGGTAGATTTCCTAGAGATACAAAATGTAATGATACTATATTCCATAAAATCTTCTGGAATTCCTTCAACTTTTGAGCCGACTGGACTTTGTAACGCTAATGGAAAGCTTCCTGATGGTTTATCTAAGATTTCATGACTTAAACCAAGATGCTATTGTTGACGCAAAACATAAATCTACCAAATATCCTTCCGTTTTACCTTCCAAGCATTTATTCATACCAATAATTGCTACAATGCTAATTCTTTTAACATTCACTCCCGAGCCTTTTTCAAGAATCTAAGATATCGCAACATCGAAGAACAAAAATACAAACGAAGGCTTTTATCTTGGCAAGGAATAACAATTAATATAATTCGATCTATCTCTACATCAGTTTCATATTCTTCGTTGATAGATAAGAATAACTATGTAAACTCATTTATTTATATGATTTTTACTATTATTTATTGAATTAAAAATATAGTAAAAAAATAAATAATTTTAATAAATATTGAATTATGAAATATTAAATTTTGAAAAAATCTTTTAAAAATATATAATATTTAAAATTTAGAAAAAAAATCATTTTTATAATAAAAAGTGAAAAAAAAACTATTATTTAAAAAATATAACGTAGCCAAAGGCCTGAAGACAATCGTAAATATCTCCAATAATTTTTGGGAGAACCAATTTAATGGTGCCCTTCCTTCTAGCAAAATCTTAGCTACGCCTATGTGTACTGTGAATTTGGAATATCAAAATTTATTGTTTGATTATTGCAGGGTTCTAGTACCATTTTTATCGAAATAAAGTTAGGGTCATTTACTCTTAGAGATCCCCTCCTACCCTTTTCATTCAAAAAACTTTCAAAAGATAATTTTAAATGCTTTTATTATTATTATAAAAAGTTAATATTGTAAAGTATCTAGTTACCAATTTAAAAAATAAATAATTTTACATCTTTTAGAAACAACTAATTATAGTTATATTTGAAAGTAGCTAGTTACATTGTACGTTACATTTAACTCATCATTTTCGGTATATCTTTTTTTTTAATATACAAAATATTTTTGAGATTTTAAAACTATTCGCTTCCACAGTTCTCATGGATTTAATCTAAATATTTTAAAAAATTTAACTTTTTATTCCTTTTTAATATATAATTTATTGAATGTCTTTTCCTAATTTTTTTTATTATTATAATATGATTAGGAAAATAAACATAAATATCATTTAAATAAAGAAATAATTGTACCGAAAAAAATATACCCAACATTTATTCTACAGAAAACAGCAAAGCTTGATGTGAGTGAGACATTATATTCGATAAAAAGTAATTATAAATTTGGGAAACATCATTCAAATATAATAATTTTCGGTTATCCAATTGATCTTAAAAAAAATTAAATTTACTTAAAATATATGCAATTATTCATATTTTAATTTAATATGTAACTAGTTACTTATTTGTTATATTCTCAAAAATATAGTTGTATTTTCAACCAGTTACTTTACAACATTAGTTTCTATGTAATCAAATATATAGTTATGCAATCAATTATATATTTCTTATAATATAAGACATATTTTAAAATTTATCTCCTGTGAAATTTATAGAAGAGGAGTTAAAAGCTATAATACTAAAGCGACCATATTATTTATCAATATGTTACTTGAAATAGGGAATATATTTATTTCTAGGTTTTATAAAATTACAACATATATACTATAAATATATTTATATATAAGTGGCAAACCTTAAATTGAAGCAGGGACACTACAAAAACTAGTAGGATATGGTGACCATAAACTAAAATCAAATCCCAAAGTCTCAGCAAAACATTAAAATTGGGAATGCATTCGGCCAAATATATAGAAAACCACTGGTATAGAACTTTTGAAAGATCTAAAAACATAAGATTTTTTGAAAATGAATTATATATTTTAAATTGAATTATATTAAATTAATTATAGATTAAAAATTAGGACTATTAAAAATAGAATTTCATCTAATAGTAGTGTATAGTTATGTTGCGAATTATTGAAAATTGTAGTATTAAAGATAATCATTTTTAAACATATTCCAATTGAGTAACATTGTTTTAGGACCTAATAAATTTTTTTTTAAATACCCGGGTCGAGTCGAATTTTAAAATCACGACTATTATATTTGTATATAAAAATTGTTGTATAACATTGATTTACTTCTCGTATTTCTTATCTTATTTTCATTTCAAAACTATTTTATTCGTTAGAAGATACTTAATAAGTTTATAAAATAAAAATTAAATATTTTACAAATTTTTCACATAATTATAATTATTTTTAATTCAAATTATAAATTTTATACCTACACCTAGTAATTTTATTAAAATAATCTTCATTTATTTTTTATATTGGGTCAGGTCGTAAATATTTTTTACAAATTACACTAATATATTTTTTAATCTTTAACATTTTTATTTTAAAATTCAATATTAGAAAATTACAATAAGATAAATTTTTGATTATGAATATTGAAAAATATACATATCTAAAAATTATACCTTATCTATAAAAAATAAAACTATTTAAAATAATGAGGCTTAATGACTCTTGGCAAATTTCAATTCTCGCATATAGAAACCCCCTTTTGAATTAACTATGATTAATGTATGCTTTCCCTATTGTTTTGAATAATTTTAGGGAGAGTTCCTCCACAGGTGTCCTACTGTAACTAACAATCGATTATTTAGGTGGCTAGATTTATTGGTCTTTACTTTTTCTGCTCTCATGAGAGTTAACAGAAAAGGATCTCGTACAAGGATCTTACACAAGTATAATCACTAAGCGTGGGGTATACTCCAGGGAACAAGGATCACTCCATTGTGTCTGGTTTGATTGTCAATGAGTCAAGAGAGTTTCAGCGTGGAAGGAATATTTGTGTATTTCAACGTTCTATTAATGAAAGAATTGATGGCATTAGTTCCTGGGTAATCTGCCTTTTAAAAGGCGACAATGTAAAGTAATAGCCAAGGCTATCGATATTGGTGTCAGAGAGCGCATGATGTTAGTGTTACAATTTTGCAGTCAAATCGAAGGCTGATAGCACTTCTAAGTTCTTCGTTAGTAGGTAAGAAGCCTGATTTAGAGCTAGATATTGTTTCTAGCTATTCATAACCTGGGTAGCATATGGTTGAGGCTGGAATTATTAGATCTGCCAAGAGTCGTATAGTTTTCATTCTGTGTAATTTGGGTGTTTGGTTTAAATAATAAAGCGCGATGGAGATTTCCTTTGAACAGGATCCGATTATAAGTATTCAACGGAATGCTGTCCAGTCTCTTTGTCTTGCCTAATTTGCATATTATCTGAATGGAGCGTTTTTGCTCCAGATGTCTATAAACTTTGGCGTAAGAGCAGCTTGCATCCAAGCGAGAGGTGGGAGTTTAATATTTAAAAGAGACTCAATGTATCTTAAAAGATATATATGTACTAATAGTAATAATAACAATAAGTATAATACTATATTTACATTAAAATAATGCAATTGTTTATTTAAATATTAAGAGTACAAGGAAACTGTTACCAAAGTCAAAGGCGTCGCTAGATTTTAAAGCAGAAGCAGGGGAGGAGGGGCTCACTTAGAAAAATTTTTCAAAATTTATCCAATTATTAAAAATATTTTATATCAAAAAATACAAATTTTACAAATATTTATATATTAATAAATAACAATTATGAAAGTTTTTTTGGGGTATTCTTTTAAATTTATTGTAATAATTGGTTACATTTAATTTAATTGCAACTCCATAACTTGTAATATATTTTATAAATATTTATTTTTTAATCTATATGAAAATATACTGCTGAGGTTGGAATCCAGTTATTTTGTGTAGTTAAAATATATTCATTATTGGAAGTATTGCTGATATTTTTTAGTTTATCTTTTTTAACACTTTCGAAATATGCATCCTTTATCTACGATACAAATATTTGTATATTTATTAAGATAAATTTCAAAAAGATACCGATACTTTTTTTATTTATATTAGTTTATTATTATAAATATAATTATTAACCTATTTTTTTTTAAACAACAACATTTAAGATAAGTCAATAGGACTTCATGATCAGTGGATTGAAACGTAATTAGTGCCAGATCTTAATGGAAATCCTTGGCGCATATAGTAACCTGTTTGGATCTTCTGTGATTGAGGTTCGAATGAGTCAATAGTGTCGAAAATTATGGGAACAAAAGAAAGGCTATTTAGGTTACATTATTTATTGGTTCAAATATTTTGTGCCCTCAGAATGGAGTTAAATGAAAAGGACTTTACAAAACTGTCCAAGGAATTGTAATACAAACTTGGGGTATATCTTGATTCCAATAGATTCGAATCATATCATAAGGTATAGTTTAGCTGTAAACACTGATGTCAGAAGGTCCAGTCTCTAGTAAGAAAGAGCTTTCAGAGTTCTACTCGAATTGACTGCATAGTCCCTGAGTATTTTGCCTTTTGAATAAGGATAATTAAAAGTTTGTAGAATAGGTGTCCATATGAGTGTTATAAAGCACCTTTGATATTAGAATTTTGCAGCTTAATCAAAAATCAATAGCTATTCAAAGCTCTTAGTTGATATGTAATAGTCCTAGGTTAGAGCGAAGTATTGTTTAATTCATTTATACCTCAGTTGAGGTATATATTTTTAGTCTATTTTTTTAATCGGTTCTGAAAAAAATTATATGGCTATCTCCTGATTTGAGGTAATTTAAATTACTATTTTAATCCCACTTTTTAGTTGTACCGTATTTATGTTGTTTTCATGTGTCAGTATTGTTTTACTTTTAGCTTTCGAAAACTTTATATTTTACCATATTAAATTAACGAAACTTTTTATATATTAAATTATTTAGTTTTTTAAGAATTATAAGAAAAATCCATTAAATTGCAACGTCACATACTATTTTCCTTCTCATGTTATAAATTTTTTGTAGCTACTCTTGCTATAACAAAGTATATTCTAAAAAAAATTTTGGTAATCACAAAACCACAGAGGTCATCAAATTGGCTTAGGCAAATAATTAGTTGTGCTATGTATTGCTAGATTAGTTTGTAAGACAACTATGTAAAAACGAAGCGAAGCAGTACACTGACAAAAAATTAATAGGTATAATTAAATAATCTTAATAGTCATAAAAAAAATTACCCAAATTTTAGAATTTTTTGAAAACAAAGCTTGGTTCTTTTTTTACATGAATTTTAATTTTTTACAAATATAGCTTTTTTAATCACATAGTACCCTCTTCCAAAAACAGAATAACTTTTTTTAGAAACTAGGTGACCTCTTAACCAGGCTAATTAATCGAAAAAAGACACTGTGTTTGAAAAAGAAGACTCTATGACTAAAAAAGCTATATACGTATATTAATTATCGTGTTATTTAATAGAAAAAGAAAGTTTTTTTACATTTTTGCTATTCAAAGTTTTTTTTATAAATAATCTTGGACACTCTTTTCCTTAGAAAGATACCTTCTATTTTTTTTAAAATTAGATTATAAAGTCATTTTAACTGATATCATACATTATTAAAAATCAAAATTCGAATAATTTTGATTTAATAATGGCACTTTGGAAACTATTTTATGAGTTTGGATATTATGATTATAAAATATAAGGTCACCACTCTTGTATTCTTTATACTATTAATAATTACAGGGTTTCCCATCCAAAAAAGGAAAAGTCCCAATCAAAAAAGGAAAAGGTTCAATCAAAAAAGGAAAAGTGTCAAACAAAAAAGGAAAAAGTTCAATCAAAAAAGGAAAAGGTCCGATCAAAAAAGGAAAATTGTCAATCAAAAAAGGAAAAGTCCCAAAGGTTAAGGAAAAAGTCCAATCAAAAAAGGAAAAGTGTCAACAAAAAAGGAAAAGGTTCAATCAAAAAAGGAAAAATGTCAAACAAAAAAGGAAAAGGTCCAATCAAAAAAGGAAAAGTGTCAATCGAAGAAGGAAAATTCCCAAAAGAAAAGGAAAAGGGTCAATCAAAAAAGGAAAATTCCCATTCAAAAAAGGAAAATCGTAATTTTTTTAAAAAAATATATAAACTTTTCAATTTTTCTTAAATTTATTTATTTTTGTTATTCCTTCTTATTTTATTTCTAACTTTTTGCGATTTCTTTATTTTATTTGTATCTTTTCTCACTATATCTTTTCTCAATTTTTTTTCTTCTCATTTTTGTGGTTTGACTGAAAGTCTTCATTCTTGGTCTGGATGGGTATGACTTGGTTTGAGGGTGGGGATCGCAAAAAGTTAGAAATAAAATAAGAAGGAATGACAAAAATACAGGGTTTCCCATCCAAAAAAGGAATAGTCCCAATCAAAAAAGGAAAAGGTTCAATCAAAAAAGGAAAAGTGTCAAACAAAAAAGGAAAAAGTTCAATCAAAAAAGGAAAAGGTCCGATCAAAAAAGGAAAATTGTCAATCAAAAAAGGGAAAGTCCCAATCAAAAAAGGAAAAGTGTCAAACAAAAAAGGAAAAAGTTCAATCAAAAAAGGAAAAGGTCCGATCAAAAAAGGAAAATTGTCAATCAAAAAAGGAAAAGTCCCAAAGGTTAAGGAAAAAGTCCAATCAAAAAAGGAAAAGTGTCAAACAAAATAGGAAAAGGTTCAATCAAAAAAGGAAAAGTGTCAAACAAAAAAGGAAAAGGTCCAATCAAAAAAGGAAAAGTGTCAATCGAAAAAGGAAAATTCCCAAAAGAAAAGGAAAAGGGTCAATCAAAAAAGGAAAATTCCCATTCAAAAAAAGGAAAATCGTAATTTTTTTAACAAAAAATATATAAACTTTTCAATTTTTCTTAAATTTATTGATTTTTGTCATTCTTTCTTATTTTATTTCTAACTTTTTGCGATTTCTTTATTTTATTTGTATCTTTTCTCAATTTTTTTTCTTCTCATTTTTGATAATTCTTTTAAGTATATTTAATTTTCACTAAATTTTTGGCAGACAACTTTTTTATTATAATTTTTTACATATGAAATTATTTAATTACAATTACGATATATATTTAATATAGTACGAAACAAAAATTTATTTTTACACCCCCCCCCCCACCCTCAAACCAAGTCATACCCATCCAGACCAAGAATGAAGACTTTCAGTCAAACCACAAAAATGAGAAGAAAAAAATTGAGAAAAGATATAGTGAGAAAAGATACAAATAAAATAAACAAATCGCAAAAAGTTAGAAATAAAATAAGAAGGAATGACAAAAATAAATAAATTTAAGAAAAATTGAAAAGTTTATATATTTTTTTTAAAAAATAACGATTTTCCTTTTTTGAATGGGAATTTTCCTTTTTTGATTGACTTTTTTCCTTTTCTTTTGGGAATTTTCCTTTTTCGATTGACACTTTTCCTTTTTTGATTGGACCTTTTCCTTTTTTGTTTGACACTTTTCCTTTTTTGATTGAACCTTTTCCTCTTTTGTTTGAGACTTTTCCTTTTTTGATTGAACTTTTTCCTTAACCTTTGGGACTTTTCCTTTTTTGATTGACAATTTTCCTTTTTTGATCGGACCTTTTCCTTTTTTGATTAAACTTTTTCCTTTTTTGTTTGACACTTTTCCTTTTTTGATTGAACCTTTTCCTTTTTTGATTGGGACTTTTCCTTTTTTGATTGAACCTTTTCCTTTTTTGGATGGGAAACCCTGTATCTTTTTAAAATAAACAATTCAATCAACTTCAGCTCTGTAAACAATTATTTTTCACGCAGGGTGACAGTAATAAAGAAGATAAATACATTATCAAGCAAGATGTTACAATCTATCATAATGAAGAAAATATATATTCTAATCTTATTGAAGCAAATCTTATTATTATAAATATTTATTGTTATCAGAGGTATCATTAGTTTTTTTAGAAGCGATTAAAACCTTAGTTTTTTTTAATTATCGGGGGCCCATAAAAATAATTGTAAAAAAGACTTAATTTTTTGTTTATAATTACTAAAATATTTTGACAACTTTAAAATAACCTGAACCTTGTGGATGTTCAAAAATAATAATAAAAATTAAAGGGTGGGGGGGGGGGGTACTCTAGCCCCTCTTTACTGCCTCTCCCTCTAAAGCCAATGAAAATTACTGTCGTGTTAATTGTCATATTTTATCATATTATTATTTTGATATTTGCAAATAAATGAATGAAATTTTCCAATTTTATAATAATTATATTTAGATTTATATAGATATTCATTAAAAAAAAAATTAGTCTGAACAATAATCCGTTCTTTATATTAGTCTTCATAGTTCAGTTTAGTATTCACTTTGTGATTTAGGGTTCGGTGTTTTTGAAAATCGGTTCTAGACCAAATCAGACCGAGCCACTAATTTAAGATGTATGTTTTTCATGGTTTGAAGGGAGTAAAGATTTATGCAAACGCCATCGTTATGCGAACAAAATAGGAGGGAAAGAATGTAAAAGGCGTTCGGAGTATGCTATTTTTTATTTGCATTCCTTTCTTTCCTTTTTTCTAATTATGATTTGGTTATTCATTTTACTAATTAATTTTTTTGCCTGTTATTTCTTTTTTTGCTAATTTTGATTTGATAAGTGGTCTGTGGTGAATATGATTATTGGCTTAGGAAGATGAAGAAGTACCTACCAATATGCCTTGCATTAAACCAGAGCATGGACCATGTTGACAAAAAATTGACTTCCTATAAATCTTAAGATCTGATTTTTATTTATTTTGTTTCCTAATTTTTAACATACGAGGCAATTACTAAATTCGGTAGCTAAATAAATATTTACCACAAAGCAATTCTTTTCCTTCTGACCCCGATCTCCCCTGCATAATTTTTTATATTCTTGATTCACTAAAACCTTATTAAAATTCAACTATTCAAACATGGCATTATTATATAGCAATAAAAGTGAAATAACCTATTGAATGGTGCTTTAATAACATATATAATTCTGGTTCCCAAATCTCTAATGAGCGCAATATAACATCTATATCAGCCTAAAAGTTTAACAATATAATATTATTCGTTTACAATATTATTTTTGTAATTCCATTCTCAAAATAAGTTAAGATTAAAAAAGCTAAATATAGTTTTAAGTTTAAAATAAAACTTTTATAATATTGCTCAATAAAGTAACCTGCATTGTAGGACACGTATATCTCGATTCTTGTGATCGTGACTTTATCCAAATACAATTATTTATACTTTTATCCTTGTTTTTATTTTTAAAATATTTATCATTATGGGAGTAATCCTTAATATATGTATATTCGATTAGCTTCTTCCTCTGTTTTTGAATATCATTGTCCCCATATTTTCGTGTTATTGTTCTCTTATTTCCATATTCATCGATTACTATATCATTTCTATTAAAGTTTATAATCCTATTATTGTTAAAGTTTTCATGTGTCTTTATAAAAACATTTGTTACATCTTCGCTTCCTTCCTCGTAAATATCATTGGGATCCAACAAAATTATTTTTTTAATTTCATCAATATCATTATTTCCTAAATTGACTTCAACCCATTTCTGTTTAATATTCCCCTTTCTTATCAAATCTTCCAAATTACTACACAATCTAGTATTTTTGGATACTTCCCTACCATTAATATTCGTTTCAATTCTATTTCCGAAATCATAAGGGTAATTATTAGCTACATCTATAACATCGGAAACTTCTTCATTATTAAAGCCAAAAGATTTTAAAGTTCCTTTAGTATTAGCATCATTAGAATATATATTATTATATATAACATTTGAAAAACATTGCTGATCTCCATGATCCACTTTTTTATTAAGTGATTTTGATAATTTAAAATAAATATCATCTGCCAAATTCAGGATATCCTTACTCGATAAATTGTCCTCATCGGGTATATTCAAAACATTGCTAATTTTAATCAAGTTACTTGACTTGTCCACTTTAGTAAAACTATTATTCAACATATTAACATTGAATTTTTCATCAATAATTTTAGTGTCATCAAAGGGTTTAGTACCAACTTGTTGGATATTCTCATTCCTATTACTCTCCATTAACTGCTTGACTTCAGTTTCAATATAATCTTCAAAGTAATATTCAAAGTTCTCATCCCAAACCCCTTTTTCATAATATCCAGAATTCGTTATCATCGTTACAATCATTTCACAAGCTTTTTGTTCACGTGTTTTTACGGGGAAGACCGACGAGAACACTATGCCCATATACGCAGATAATTTTGTTATATTTGAATGTGGAAAGAACATTTCTTTGGAATTATTCTCAAATGAATGGAATAGAGAAGTATGAATTATACGAAATAGGGTACAGGGATTGTTGGAAGCGAAAGAGGAAGCTAAAGGTAAGAAACATGTTTGGGTGGCAAGTTTGGTCACTTGCTTTACATTTATAAATAGAGAGAGTGAAGAAGGTTGATTGGAGGGGGTGGGAGTGTGGGGGGGGGGGGAATAAATATAGATATAATTAATTATGATGATCTTGTTTTTTGGAGAGTTTCTTTAGTATTTATATTTAAGTTAGAATAAAATAAAGAATAGAATAATGAAAAACATATTGCAATTTTTAAGGGTTGAATTTGAATTACTCCGCATGTAAAATTTTTATCTAAGATATTGAAATTTAGAAATTTATCTATAGACATTAGCTTTACCCAGTCAGATATTTTTAAAACTTAAACGATGATTGTTTAACTTAACCTTCTAGAATTTCTTTCAAGTAGTGATGCAAAATCGCTCCATTTGAGTAAAAACAGCTAACCCAATATTTTAGCCAGAAAAATTTTATCAAAATCTTCAGGCTTGCATAATATTTTCCTGGACAGAATACTAACTTATCCGTTTTTAATAATCGGCTCAAATGGAGTTATTTTTTACCTTTAAGCATACATGCAATATCAATTTTTTTTCATGCGAAATATCAAAGAGCTCTATAACCGTTGCACGTTTATGAATCTATTTAATAAGCAAGACCTAACATTTATTAAGCCATTCCTGTCTGATTTAAATACTCGTCTAATTAGAGGGGTACTATATAGCTTTTTAATAGTATTTATCCATCCTGAAAAAATGCTCCTATACAGAATATCAATAAATATTGGGAGGAAAGATTTATTTTTTTAGTTTAATTTAGTTCAAAAAAATTCAAGTTGTTAGTTTTCAATTTTTTTTAGAAGTAATACAATTCTCGGATTAAAATTTAAAACCAAAAAAAATAAAACAAAAGAAACATGTTTTTTAAACATATAATTACGTAAAAAATAATGAAAAAAATATTAAAAAACGAAAAGAAAAGAAAAGAAAAAGGGGGAAAAGAAAAGAAAAGAAAAAGGGGGAAAAGAAAAGAAAAAGGGGGAAAATACGAAAAATTACAAAGCCACCGAACGATGGAGATTGTTTTTCAATCTAGCTATTATTTTTATATTAAAAAAAAAAACTTTAAAAATTTTATTTTTTAAAACATGCAAAAATATTATAAAATATTTATATAAGATTTGGGTGAAAATGTTCAATAAACAATGGAAATTATTTATTAGGAATTCTTTTATAAATTTCTTAATTTTCATGTTTAAATTATATGCCCTAATATAAATCTCATCAATGCGACAACTTTTTATTGCGGGAGAAATAGGAATTTATGAATGTAAAATAAATATGCTCAAAACACATTCCGTCTTCGAGTGAGCAGACTAAAGGAACGTAATATAGACAGCGTAAAAATGATAAATGCTCGAGAAAAAATGATATTTTACTTCTATCATCAACACAAGCATCCACCGACCTCTAGCATCTCTAAAAATTTCAATACTACCAATTAATTCTTCCTATCCCCGGCTTGAAAATCGAAGGAATCATTTCACTAATTTTACAAATTCGAGGATAAGTGTAATAGTTAAATTATTATTTGAAAAAAAGGTTTTCCCTTATGGCAAGCAATACTATGCTTGTGGCATATCTTCTAGATCCAAAAGAAATTAGAAACAGATTGACCAGAGTTTAGATATTTTCTTAAAGATAAAATTGGATCAGAAGATTTTTCCATTGTTTGGCTAAAATATTACGTTTGATTTTCCTCCAATTAGAGTACTGATGGGTATGCAGCCCCTGCTGGGCGGGTTTTAACATCATAAATATAATGTAGGCCTAGTCCGTGGCCCAAAAAATATTAATTTTATATTTACTTTTTATTTTTGCCAGATTGAATATCACAATTATATAATAAATTTTAAAAAATAAGAAAAGGTTTAAAAAAAATCTGGTGAAAAATATATTCCTTATATCTTATTTTATAAATATTAAATAAAATAAATAACTTTCATTAAATTATCAGTCATTGCTGAATATTTAAATTTAATGCATAACATTAAAAACAAATTCAAACAATTGTAGTTTAATTATATACATACAATATACTATAAACTGATCATTAAGGCAAAAATATGGATCAAGAAGCCATAATAGTTTGCCTATTTATGTTTATGGTGAAAGTGGAGCAAAATTTTTATCAAAAAACTTATGTAGATGATCTCCAATTTTATAAGCATAAATGGAACAAACTAGAGTTCTTCTAGATCAGTGGCGTAGCTAGGAATTTTCCTTAGAGGGGGTCCATACATATAAAAGCTGGGGGGCTTTGCCCCCCAGACCCCCTTTAACGGGCCTTCGGCCCTTTATTTTTTAAATGCATCAATAATATGTTATTATAATTTAGTAGATTATTCTCAATGACTTTATAATAATACTATCCAGAATAATTTCAATAGTAATATAATATCCTTTCGCAAACATCAAAACCAGAAAAATATAATTCATATAAAATCACTTTTAAGTCTTTTGAACGTATAATCTAAAAAAAAATTTTTGCTCTGGGAGGGGTCCAAACCTGAACACCCCCGTAGCTACGCCACTGTTCTAGATAGTTGGCCAGGCCATATGCTAATGGTACAAGAGCGGACAGTGACCCGAAAAATTTAAATGTTATATTTCTTACATATTCTACCTTTTTTTGCCTGGTTGAATTCCAATTATAAAATAAAGAATAAAAAATTAAAGTGCTCATGTTTATTATTTAAAAAGGTATAATACTGGCTGGCTCAAAAATATCGTCGCATTTTGAAATCCTTATTCGTGTTTTATTAAAGAATATATGGAACTTCATTTTTTAAATTTGATTGAGTCGTTTTATAGAAATTGAGATAAAATAAATATTAAATTTGACAAATAATAACTTAAAATAAGGGTTGCTAGACCTTCAGGCGCGTAGCTAGAAAGGGGGGGGGGATTTTTTTATATTGAAATGATTTTTTTAGAGCATTAAAAATTTATTAGAACTAAACATCATATAAAATTTATTAGAATTAGTTATTAAATAAAATTAATTGAAATCAATTATATTTGAATATAATTTAGAACATAAATAATAAAATAATGGAAAATACAAAATATTAAGAGCGAATATAATATGGTTAAAAAATATTATAGCTTATAAATCGGCATGTAAATCACAATAAAATATGAAATTAAACATTTTTAATGATTTAAAAAGTTAATCAAAATATCATTCATAAATGAAAATTCAAGCTTCTTTTGATTGCGCCAATTTTTTAATAATTTGTTCTGTGTTGAAAATTTGCTCTCGAGGAATACAACTAGTCTATTCATTCAAATGTCATACTTTTGATATAGGCTTTTATTCTTCTGTAATGAAGAAATGGTCCTCCCATTTGTGCTTGAACTAATTAGTATCGTTGCCAAAATATATAATAATTTTAATATATATGGAAAACTTATAAGATATATTAAAGTATGCAATGCCTTCACTCTATTTATTGGAGGAATATCTAAAAAATTAAATTTTTCATACCATTTAAATTCTGAAATGAATTGGCCTTAAGTTACATTTATATCCTATAAATTAAAATTTTTCAAAATCAAGATTTGATATGTCCTCGGATCAGAGGGAGTTATAAGATATAATATTTGTAAATTAGATAGAGTCATTTGATAATTCACAAATCGTTATTGATTTGAATCAAAATCAAATCCAAAAGTGGAATAAAAACAGTTATTTTTATAGTAATATTTAATTGTGTCCATTGAAACGATTTGTTTGTGTCGGCAAAAGTCTAGGCTTATAAATTTTAAAATCATATAATTTCGCTTCACCTCAACAATCACAAAAATCTCGAAAAATTACTCGTCGATATTATCACTTGGTTTTCTAAGTTGTAATATAATAATACTCACGATTCTCGTAACTTCATACAACTCCATTTTTCTGAATTGTATAAAATTATTATGCAATAAATAGTTTATTAATACATTATAATAAAAAAATCGGCAATCATATTTAATTTAATAATGCAGCATCAAATGAAATATCTGTTTCAGATGATTCTGATATTTCTCCAAGGGCATACAAAATAGACTCTTCTAGATCCAGATGTCGAAGGCTCCATCTTGTCGTGCAGGTATTTTGCAGTTTCTTTTGTCTCAGAAATAATTATGTTCAGCGAATTCTGTCTATTTGGGTATCTGAACATTTCACACACTGTAAAGATTTTGTAATCAATCCTTCAGTAATAGACTTTAAAATTTCGTAAGATAAAATATTAATATATAAGAAATAAATATTTAAATTAATTTTAAATTTTTGCTAACATTTAGAATAGAATATAACTATTTGAAATAGAATACTCTACAATTCACAATTCAAAGCCATTATATATATTTTTCATTAATATTTTCTACAAGAGGAGTTGTCCTCTCCCCGCTGGCTACGCGCCTGTAGATCTTGATTTTGATGCAAACCTCCTGATTTTTTTACTCTTGACACCAAAATACGTTGTCTATTTAATTATGTTTCTCGATATTTTATAAAAAAATTACTCTCAGATTTTTTTATGAATTTTTCAAAAATATAATAATTAAAATTAGTTTAACCCTTTCGGTCGCGGAAGTGCAAATATAAAACTACTTTTCAAGCATTATATCTTCTAAAGAATTTAATAGCTAGAAACGCTTTATGAGTAATATACATGCAAAGGATAATATATTCTTGTATTGCAGTGCAATTATGTAAATGAAATTATAAATCTAGAGATAAGGTGTATAAAATTTGAACCACTTGATGCAGCGTCCATTTTAAAATTTTTTATATTGTACTTTATAAGAATTGAATACCTTCATTAAATAATGTATTGCATCATATTGATGTCATGAGGGGACTTATAGGGCTAACCAAAAACTTACACAGCTATTTATTATTTTAATTCAGTCATACATATAAAAAAGCATCTTTGTTTATTTTACTATCTATTATTTTAGGAAAGAGAACAAAGAAAAAACTTTAAAAAATTGATATTATTCAAAATTTACCTTAT